GAGAAATGGACCCTCATATGTCCACTATACAACGTAACTACTGCATGATCTCCTCGTATTACTATTCCATGGTCCCCGAGGTTGCAATTACATGAAGCTTTATTGCCTGGCAAACACATAAATAGACCTCCAGTTCCCCTCCTAAAATATTGATCACTGACTTAGATTGAATATACTCTCCACTTACTCTTCCAATCTCACACTCACTCTCATTCTCGCCATGAAGATTAACGCTCTTCCCCTCCTATTTGCCACTGTTGCCAGCGCCAGTGTCCAGGGCTTCGACATCTCCGGCTATCAGCCTAACGTGGACTTTGCCGGTGCTTATGCAGCTGGTGCCCGTTTCGTCATGATCAAGGTGAGCTTTCCCGAAGTTACTATGAACCCCTTCTCCGCCACAATACTAACTATATCAGGCGACTGAGGGTACCAGCTTCGTCTCTAGCTCTTTCTCAAGCCAATACACTGGTGCCAGTAGTGCCGGTCTGATCCGTGGTGGTTATCACTTTGCCCAACCTGGCAGTAGTACTGGTGCTGCACAAGCCACTTACTTCCTTGCCCACGGTGGAGGTTGGTCCGACGATGGTCTGACCCTGCCCGGTATGCTGGACATCGAATACAACCCGTCCGGCGCAACCTGCTATGGGCTCAGCCAATCAGCCATGGTATCTTGGATAAAGGACTTTGGCGAGACCTACAAGAAGACCGCCGGCCGGTACCCTATGATCTACACCACCGCCGACTGGTGGAACACTTGCACTGGCGGCAGCACAGCATTCAGTCAGGACTACCCCTTGGCTCTGGCTCGATACAGCACTTCAGTCGGCACTATCCCTGGTGGTTGGCCTTTCCAGAGCTTCTGGCAGAACTCAGATGCGTATAGCTTCGGGGGTGATTCGGAAATCTGGAATGGCAGCGAAGCTTCTCTGAAGACGTTTGCCAAGACCGCTGCTTGAAGTAATTGGTCTGAGGATTCCCCAGAAGATGTATAGAGATTGTGGTGAGTTTTGTGCAAATCAACATGAACGACAGTGGAATTGATTGTTCTTGTATACCAGACGCTCGGCCGGTAATTGAGGGCATGTTCATGTGCTCTATAAACTCTTGTCAGTATCAAATGGGTATCAAATCGTCTGTTTCCATGCGATTTTGTACACAATTCTTATACACCTGATCTACATCGTAGGCACATGCAATGTTGTAGTGACTTATTCTTATTCATTGTGACGGATCCTCTTGAAAGATCTATATTCATCGCATACATACTTAAATCATCCCTTGTGTAGATAATTTATTATTTCTGGCGGGGCCAACGGTTTCAAGCAATAATGAAGTATCTAGGCTTTTTACTGAAATGGCTTTCTTATATTAATTCCAGCTTCTTAAAATCCAAGAAAGTTGATATGTACACAGTACATAGTGGGGGACCCCGGGGTACCGATCAGGATTAGTGTCCGTTGACTCACTTCTACAATATATATCGTCTTCGGGCCCCCGTAAGGCTTTGGATATTCTGTGTATCCTTCACTTTCCGTTTGTTATTTTTGTCTATGAAAAGAACCATGAGTCTCATCAAATATGCCACCGAGGCCGATGGGCCAGGACTTGCCAAAGTCAATGTCCAAAGCTTCCAAGGCCGCCGTCTCCTCGAAGAACTTTTCCCGGAGGCCAGCCTGACCAGAATGCAGGAATACAAAATAATTGTAGGAATGAAACATCTGGCCAACCCCAATATGCATGTCCTCAAGATTCATGATCCAGTCAGTGGGGAACTGGCGACCTACAGCCGTTGGCAGTTTCCAGCATCATTTGGACCGAGCCTGGTTACTCTAAGTGAAAAAGCGGCCTTTTTTGCCAAGGACCCCATTCCACATGCACCCCGACCAATGAATGAGGAGGTTTTGAATGTCTTTAAAAAGCTGCTGGAGGATGGTCGCAAGCGATACACCACAGAGCACGACATCAGTAAGTGGCCCCCACATTCCCGACAGGGGGATTTTGCTCATCTGGTTCATCAGTCCTCGATCTGCTAGCAACCCTCCCAGAATATCAAGGGCGAGGTTTTGGCTCTGCTGTCCTGAAATGGGGCATGGAAAAGGCAGATGCCTCCCAGTCGCGCATCTTCCTCGAGGGTACACCCGAAGGTGTTCCCATCTATCTCAAGCACGGGTGGAAGATATTAGAGGAGGTGATTATGGATTATACACTATTTGGTAGTGTTGGGCAAGAGTCCTTCTTCCTTATGATGAGGGATCCAGTTCCACAATAAGGGGTGCAAGGTTTATATACGGAGTATGTCTACTTTGGAGAGATGGATGAATAAGTAAGGCGCATTTACTGGATCGGGATAGGCTTGAAGTACTAACATGCTACTTCAATGCAATATGCACAATGTCATCGGCATATATTTTCAATATGTATATTTATAGGCATATATAGGCGTATACATGTGTCAATGTACTGTCGAGTGGATAAACGGACTGCCGGGCACGTCATTTCCCCGGGAATTTCTCACTTCCCCGCTAAGACGTATGTTTGTATGGACTCTCTTTTCCCTCTCTCTCCCTCTCTCCCTCTCTCTTTCTCTCCCTCTCTCTTTCTCACACACTCACATTCTCACACACTCACATTCTCACACACTCACATTCTCACACACTCACATATCTATCATACTCATCTTTTACAATGGCTCATCTCAAGTTTGCAATTCTTGACGATTACCAGGGCATTGCACCTGCCTATTTCACTCACCTTGAGTCGCGAGTTGACATTTCCAGTTTTCCCGAAACCCTCGACCCCCGCGATCCTGCACAACACGATGCTCTTATTAAACGACTCCTTCCCTTCGATATTATTTTGGCGATGCGCGAGCGAACTCCTTTTGCAGCCAAGACAATTGCGGCGCTCCCAAATTTGAAACTTCTTTTGACCACGGGTACCCGCAACCTGGCGCTGGATCTCGAGGCATTTACGCGTTCCAATGTGGCCGTCGCAGGCACTGAGGGCCGCCCACCTGGTGTGAATTCGACAGTTCAGCATACCTGGGCATTGATCTTGGGACTTTCTCGAAATATAGCACGCGACGATGCAGCTGTCAAACGCGGTGCATGGCAAGGTTCCCTTGGGATCAACTTGTCTGGGAAGACACTGGGGCTGCTTGGCTTGGGAAAACTCGGGTCACAAGTAGGAAATATTGGCGCTCTGGCTTTTGGGATGAAGGTTCTCGCATGGTCAACAAACTTGACACAGGAAAAGGCCGACGAGCAAGCACACGCTCAGGGTCTACCAGCGGGCACATTTGCTGTCGCCGCGTCCAAAGAAGAATTCTTCGCACATGCCGATATCGTCAGTGTACACAGTGTGTTATCGGATCGAAGCCGCGGAATCGTTGGTGCGGCTGAAATAGCAAATATGCGATCATCTGCATTTATCATCAATACTTCACGTGGGCCGTTGATTGAGGAGCAGGCCCTCCTCGCGGCCTTGAATTCGGGTCGCATTCGTGGCGCCGCATTAGATGTCTTTGATCCGGAGCCATTACCTCTCGATAGCCCATGGCGTACTATTCCTTGGGGACAAGATGGACGCAGTGAAGTTCTGCTTTCCCCCCACATGGGATATGGAGAGGAGGAGCTATTGCGGGGGTGGTATCGCGAAACAGCCGAGAACTTGGAGCGCTGGTTGAATGGACAGGAGCTACTACGTAAGATGAATTGATGGACAATATACATACAAAATATAAATAAACCGAAGTCAATATAAGAGAGGGGGGAAAAAAGATATGTTGCACAAGTATGTTGTATGCAGCATGCAGCATGCAGATCAGGAACATGCCGAGAGAGTCGGGATTTCCGAACAAGAATTGTGTGGGCTGATAGTTCCAGCTTCTTAAATAAGTCGATGTACGTAAATTGTGCAGGGTATATTTTACCCCAATCTCCCGTTCGAGTATGAAGCCGAGAATGTGGTCATGTTGTGCATGTGGAGGTTCACCGAATGACGAATGCGTCCGATCACCGGCTAAAAGTTCACGTTCACGAGTCTAAATATCTAAATATCTACAATAAACACACTTTTTTGAGACAATTAATTGTGTTCCAGGCCTGTGCCTCGGTCTTCCGAGCGGAAAGACCTCGGTTGAAGGGAACAATGTGGGATGTTCTCAATATCATCTCTACTCTCTACTTAATAAAACCCCCCAAGTATTTCCCCCCTCATTTTCATTCGCCTCAAAAGATCTCCCATCCTCAGATCCTCAGATCCTTATATCCTCGTATACCCTCTCCCCTTCTCACTCCATACCTCCGTCAGAATGGCCCCATCCGCCGATCCCATTCCCGTGACGCCCACCCTTGCCAACTTCCCTCCTCCGACCCATCCCGAATGTCTGCGTGTTGAACGGAGTACGAAAGCATTTGCCAGTGGGGCTTATTCGCTGGTTGACCTCCCCGCGGGTGCCGTCTTCGCCAAGATCACTACGGCAACTCCTGGAAAGAAAGCCTACACGAGCGTGCAAACTAGCCGCGACACCCACATCGAACTCAACTCCGACCTGGTCTACTGCAACCACTCATGTGCACCATCATTGGTCTTCGACATGGGTCGCATGGAGGTGCGGGTCGTGGACGACCATCCTTTGAAGGCAGGTGATGCCCTCACTTTCTTCTACCCCAGCGCCGAGTGGGATATGGACCAGCCATTCCAGTGTACCTGCGGGGCAGGTGACGGGATTTGCAGAGGCTGGATCTCCGGAGCCAAGACGATGTCCGCCGACAAGTTGAATGGGTACTGGCTCAATGGCCACATTTCCGAATTGTTGGATGAACGCAAGGCCAATTGAGGGGCTGGCACCCCAAGCAATTGGAGGACTTGTGGTCATGAAGTATCGAAAAAAAAGAAAAGAAGAAGAAAAAAAAAGATGTCCAAAATATGCGATAGAAAATAGATGCTAGTCTTGAGATAACTAAAATATACACAGACGCTCTCTATTTTCATAAATTTCAACTACCACCGGCTCCTGCGATCATTGCAAATTGTATCATCCTACGTCGATCAATCTCCTTCAACAACATCAAACACGTCGCAACAATGACTGCCTCGTCCAGCTCAAGGGATTGTAACGCAGCTTCGTCAATCTGCAATTCATCCCCAATACCCGCAGAAGACCGCGAAGTACCGGGTGTCCGAGAATCCTCTCCGCGAACTAACTGTGCAATCCCGTGGCGCTGAGTCTCTTTAATCTTTCCCTTCTTTTCCTCGACTGCACGGAAAACAATCAAATTGATTTTCTGCCCATCTGCCCTTTTTTCTTTGGCATATTCCCATTCAAACTGTTTATCTCCAGGCATACCAAATCGCATTGTGCGGGAGGTCCATTTCCCAGTGACAATCACTTCCCCAGGAATATCACTAGAAGGTTGAAGGAGGCGGATAACAGGATCACGGCTCGGACCGAAGAAGTATTCAGATTAAGATTTCAGTTTGGAGAGATAGCAGTGGGAGACGAAAAGCACGAATGCCTCGAGCTTTAATTGTTAAAATGCGTGATGGGCAAAAAGAGGATGGACTCGCGATGGATGTTCTTGTAATACTATTGGATCTGATGGACAAGGCCGAGGAGTGAACCTCCATTTCCTTTGTCTTGGGATCGAGAATGGTAGTGGTCATTGTGAGGGTGATTTGGCTGTAGATGACTCTGGATGACCACTGTACACTGTATCACTGTATCTTCGAGGCATCAGGACATGTATATATTCCCCAGGGCCGTATTCCCGTGTTATATACTCCGTATACTCCGTATATTCCGTATTGTTTCCTGAAATACGAGACTTGCCTATTTGGGCTTTGAGCTGATCAAATCCATGGTACGAAACGAACTCTATTCTATTTCTTGGCGCTCGTGTTTCCATGACGTCGGTTATCACCAGCCCTGGAGGACACCTGGAGGGCACCTGGAGAGCTTTTCAGGCTTGTTCTCTCTCATTTACTTTTCACGCTGACCATGTCTGCACTTTCTGGGCCTCACTCGCATAGCCCGCAGAGCCCGCATATTCTCACACTGGGCAGTGGAGCAACTCAAGTCCCCGGACAGCTTGCCAAAACTAGTTCACATGAGCGATCGGCCCAATGGATCAACGTGTCCCCAGGCAAAAGATATGATCTTATATACCTTGGTGGTTCTAGCGAGAAGCATATATTCCGGTAGATAATAATGGTGGATGTAGGACCCAGTGATAATGTCTTCCAAGGCGTATTGCCATCATCCGATCCGATAGATGGGATCTCTCACTACTCGAATCTCTCAGCTTCACAATCTCGGCCACCGAGACCTTTCACCCAAATCCCTTCTAGGATAAAGAAACAGTCCATTCCACAGATATAGGAGACTACAGGCACTTCAGTATCAGTCTGTCGATGCCAACACCTTTCCGTGTCAAAGAAACCATGAGTGCAGGTACTATGTTGTACAGTGGCTTCGATTTCCAATCCGTTGATGTCCCCCTCCTAATGGGGTATTCCGACGAGCAGGATCCACTCTCAACATTGATCGCACTTGATTGGTGGAGTCATAGCCCTAAGCTAACCTTGATCCACACATAATTGTGTTCACTGGTTTCCACTTTTGAGTCATAAACGGGCAATCTCTTCCATCGAACTGGGCTTGTGGTTTAGTGGTATAATACTCCCTTAGCATGGGAGTGGTCCGGGGTTCGATTCCCCGCGAGTCCATTCTTTTTTGCTTTTGCTTATGTTCATCCTCAATTGCATTGCAATTTGTGCTTGTGTGGTGTTGTTTTTTTCGCTCCCTGGCCATCATCTGTTATGGTGACATGATCTATACATCTTAGGGTTCAAGTCTAATGTCTATGTCTATCAGCCGATACCAGATGCCGCTATCTACATTCCAATCACACTCGGGCCCAGATCTCTTGGGCAGTCAGCAGTGTACTAACCACCATGGTTGATCCAACCACCACATCTCCGGTAGGCATCCAGCCCAGAAGCTCCAGCGGGATGAGCAAATCACAGCCATCCACCATGATTTGCTTGACCTGGGCAGAGGCAGCAGTCGGTTTGACCGGGGTAGCCTTCTCGGAGGTGGTCTTCTGGTTCTTTCTCTTGCCATTCTTCTTGGAAGGCTGCTTCGCGGGACCGATAAGCAGCGCCCAAATAGCTCCAGCAACAGAGAAAGAGAGCGCATAGAACCAGAAAGTATTGGCCTGGTCCATGACACGGTCATTCCAAGGCACTGCATAGACACCCATTGCATGAAGCTAGCCTTCGTCAGTTCTATTCAAGCAGAGAAAATAAAAACGGCAGTTGAAATCGTACCGTGGTCATGTCTTCCAGGACAAAGTAAAGACCAAAGCAAGTGCATTTAGCTAGCTCAAGCATCCCAGCCACAGAACTGAATCCATCCTTGCCCAGCAACACAGACATGCGCTGGAAGGAGTCAATGAACCCAAAGAAGCGGAAATATCTCCGCGCTACGCAATAACCCCAGTATCAGCATATATGACATTAAAGCGGGGCATATAGCTGTCTGTCAGGCATGGAATTCAACTTACCCAATGCCAATTGCAGTTTGACCGTGGTCAATTGCACGGCCAGGGCACTGCTCACGGTGAGTGCAGCGACGACCTGCGATACGCATTGGATCAGACGGAGGGTCCTTTCAAGGCCAGCGCCCGATTTGATAAAGCGAGAGAATTGTTGGATCATCATTACAACACTGCTATAAGCTCTGGGGGTAATATACTCTTAAGGGATAGGGGTGGGACTTGCGTGTGAAAAGGCTTGGAAGCCGGCTAATCTTACCTACACTAGTAATTTTGCTTATTCAGCCTTTATATGTTCGAAAATGAATCTATAGGTATATATGAGTTATTTTACGTGTAATAGGGTATTAATTATCGTCTAAAGTAGTTTGTTCAGGGTTCTCTACGTATGGCTAGAGTTGACTGGTAGTTATGTGTTAGAGATTTATATAGAGCGACATATCCAGCGCTACAAAAATAAAAAACAAAAACAAATTACACACGAGGATATCTTCGCAATTCATGAAAATAAAACAATTGATACGCAAGATGATAGGGATATATCAGTCCATCACCTATTCACCGCGAGTAGGTTCATCAGATCACCTACTCGACAATATTTCTAAGCCTGCTCTATCGCCCTTTGCCGCCCGAGATATCCTGACCTAGACGGTATCCACCGACCTTCTCCCACTCCACCTTCTGTCGCGTAATGGGAAGCTGCCTCCGGAGACCCTTGAATACGCCCTCGGATGTTTGGACGAAGGCCCGGTTTAGTGCTTCCTGATAATCGCGTTCTGCCGCAGCAACCCGCGAGACAATCGACTCGGCCGACAAGGAGGGGATAGCAATGTTAATAGGCTTAGTAGTGTTAAGGGCCACGTTGCCATCTTCGTAGTAATGCACGTCAACGTGGATGTTGCCAGTCAGGGTAGAGGAAGAGGAGACGGGAAGTTGGTAAATTGCGCGGAAACGACCGTTCCTATTGTGATAGAACAGACAATCTCCCCCAGATGGGGAAGCGCCCGCCACGATTAGTTTCCACCCAAGGTCTTGTTCTGTAGAGACTGTAATCACTCACCAGAAGTTGTTGGGGGAGTATCGGTTGGCGACTAAGACAATGGCGATGGCAGAGTCATTCTCAATGGGGTAGACACCATACGAGGAGTTGGGGTAGTGTTCACGGGCATGAACACCGAACGACTTGAGCAGCGATTTGCTAAACACGGTAAGCGGAATACCACCAAGACTCAAACCGAGATCATATCTTACATCAAGTCCGCATGCTCTGACTCCCATGCGTATGATTGTGCCCCGGATGCAGTCTATTGCCATGGTGCAAACTTGTAAGCCTTCAATGTACCGCCCCAGTTGGTCAGATAAAAACCTACCTGTGTGGTGTGGTCGACCTCGAACGAGGTTTGGCTTTCCGGGTCAAAGTAGCGGTTGTCTTCGAGCTCGTTAAATCCACTAACAATGACCTTCCCAGCGAAAGTGTTAGCTCCACTATAGACTGAGACCACTCCCGAGCGAAACCCACCTCCTGACTTGATCCCGGCAATTTGACTGTTGCAAGCTGCGTCTCATTGTACCGTTTGAATGCGGGCAGAAGGGAGGGAATGATATCCTCGCCCTCGGAAGTCAAGGCTTGCACATCTAATCAAGTAGTAGGCATCAGTATCACCGTTCGTGTAAGGGTCGGAGTTGCGGGGATCGGGACAGGCAGCGTAGCGCTAAGAGGGCGATTTACCGGCGACAACATCTGCAAGCTGAAGAGAAAAACGTCAGTGATCATCTCTCAAGCTTCAGGAGGACGATGGCCAGGGGAGTAGGCAATCCTGGATCATTGTTGACGTCCATACCTCTCCGGGCGGGGCACCCTCGATGAAGGAGGATGCCAGTTCAACGGTGGAAGGCATGGCGTAGGAAAATACGATCGAGGTATTCAATATCGAGGAAGAGGTTCAGGCGCAATTGAAGTCCTCGAGAGAAGTATTGGAGGTAGCTTGGAAGTGGTGATAGCCTGGAGTCCCTGCGGAGAGAAAGAGAGCTGTCGGAGGCGGAGAGCGATAAGCACGTGGCCTACTATCCATTTAGGGACTAGACATAGTTACATGTTATGTAGACATCAACATTCTGTACCGTGAAATCATTCATTAAATAATGTGCTATGAGGTATCTGAAAAACCGCTGGAACAACGAATGTGTATCTTGCTTGAAATATCCATATCCAAATAACACCATGCTCTTGAAAACCGCACAGAGAAAACAAAATACCCATAACCCCGAGAGCGCATAAGAATATCAAACCCCGCTTCGCAAATTCAAAGCTCCTTTCAATCAATGCTCATATTCATAAATCCATCGCTGGCTTCAGTCATCCCTTGCAGGCCAACGCGTTTGACACCTCCAGCATGAGATATTGTTCGATTGCCCGATTCAGAACCGAGTCGTTCAGAAAATGGTGCACCGAGACCCGGCTTTGGCGGCGGACCCCAGATGTTTGGTCCCATATCATTGACATTGTGGGAGTGAGTCATTACTGGACTGCTCTGAACACTCACACTGGGTGAGACAGCCCGGCGCTTGAAAAGATTAGGATCGAAGTCATCGTCACGACGCCGCTTGCGACAAATCTCCCCAATAGTTGGCATACCCGGGGCATGAGGAGTGGACGAGCGGGAACGCTGCTTGAAGGATTCCGCAGTAACAGAGCCGAGGGTTGTGGACGGAGTCATATCCATAAACATATCCTCATCTGCTATAGACGAGGGACCTCCCTGACGAACCGGGGGTGGGGTTCGGTATCGTCCATCAAACGAGTTCCAAAACTCGACGCCACCCGAGTTGCGACTGGCTTGCTTGCCAAAAGTATCCGTAGATGCTGTGTCCATTCCCGCTTTGACCGCGGGATCTTCTGTCGCTGTCGAATCAATCGAGGTCGAGGGTTGCAATGATGGGAACTCGCCAAGTGCAGGGGTTGATTCAGGCTCCGTGTCGCGGACCTGCCGGACCACTTCTGCTTCTCGTTTCATATCGCTATCAACTGGAGCACCCTCCTCCATTAAAGCGGCACGAATACGCGCAAAGGTCTTGGTTTTGGGCTGTCACTGGAATTAGCTTCTGGACTACTGAATCAGATAGGCACCGACTTACAAGTAAGCTCCCACGTCGGGTCACCGCGCGACGGATTACTCCCAGTGGACCGCCGCCTTCAGGGTGTGGAGTCGGAATTGGGCTTCCGCTCCGCGTTGTGCGACTCTCACTATCGTCGCTCATATCGGACAAACGCAGGTCGCGTGTGCCAAAGCTGAGACTCTCTCTGCGTGAATGCGCAGTCTGTCGGGGGGCGAAATAACCACCAGAGTGCTCGACACTCTTCATGATGGGCGGAGAGTGAGGAGTAGGACTAGGCTTCGTACTGTTTCCACTCGCACTGCTGGAGCTGTGGCGACTGCGGCCTTTGCGAAAGCGCGCGCGTTGGAAACTCATCAAGCTGGCAGCGGCTTGTGAATATCCTCCCATCCACTCGTTGCCCGGGCTTTGCATATTACTAGCAAATGGACTCGGTGCACTTATGCGAGTCGCCTGCGGCGTATTGATCATAATATCGTCGCGATCAGCCATCGACTCATCTTCCTCCTCGCTACTACTTGTGTCCGACTCCATCATATTCACACTCGACATGGAGCTTGAGATTGTTGTACGGTCCGCCGGGCCCGATGTTGAAAAAGGTGGGACGGATGTCGCTCCAAGTGATCCGCGTCGCTGGGGTATTGCCATGCCCCGCCCTCCAACAGTGGGAGACGAATCTGGGGAGGACTCGGCTAGGGTGGAATGGTGGAGGTTCGTACATGCGCGTGAAAAGTCGAGCCCTCGAGATCGTCGAGGGAGAACAGATCCTGGAGATCCGTAGATATGTGATGGGTCAAGTTTAGGAGAGAGAGGGGCGAGGTTTGTAAGTGATGGCGATACGGCGGGTTTGGAAGGCAAGTTTAGTGAGAGGTTCGAATGAGATGCACTTGATCTTCGAGGGGTTGCAGGAAGCGCGGGTATTGCATTATCGTCTTTGCTTGGTGCCCGACTGAGATCACCAGTGGATGGTTGAGTGGAGGATGTAGGTCTGGACGCATCAGATAACGAACGCGACTTGGGAGAGCGCGATGGTTGAAGTTGGTGTTCTGGGTCAGTTTGGTGAGGCTGAGCTAATTGTTGACTGAGCTTGCTTTCAAACCCGTGGGATGATGTACTGCGCCCTGGCGCTGGAGGTCGCACCTGCGCCATATTCAAGTCACTTTGGTCTGATTTATCGATACAGAGCAAGGGCGCACAGTGAAGGGCATCATTCGTCGGCACCGAGGCAGGAAACGGTTTCAACACCACAATCGACGCCCGTAGAGCACATGCGCTGTGCTTTATAACAAGATATACACCGTATTCGCGTCGATGTGAGGTCTACATTGCATTGCAGGTCGCTGGCTCTGAGCGGTTAACGAGATCAGATGACACCGCGCTAACCTGATCCGGACAAGCCCCTCTTCTATAGTATATGAGTGATCTAACTACGGAGTACCTACATACCATACCTATTGCATAGGATTATACAGCTGAACTGAGCAATATAGAATTGATGGATCATTCAATATTTTTCTGTTGCGCAGAGATTTCACAAGCTCATTATTATTCATCCTCGCTCATCTCATGCCCTCATGCTAGACTCATGGCATTGCTGATTGGCACCACATGCCATTCCCAGTCATTGCATTGACTCTGCAGGGCGGTTCCATTGATCAAATCCGAATCGCGTGTCTGCCATAACTTGGTGATCACTGCCCGTGTTCTAGCAATATTCGAGATTGTTGAATCGGCCATTGTTGCTAGGGAATGTAGCACAATCGCTCGTCCCGACCCTGATTTTATTTCAGACTCCGGAAAGAGCTCATCATCAGATGGGTCAAGCTCCACAGCTGCCACAAAGACTGGCCATGTGACATTGACCAGCGATTTACGGTCCAGAAGATCCGATACGACCCGCAGAATCTGGCGCACATAACTCTTCACCAAAGGTGTGGTGGGTCCAGCCCCATACAGAGAACAATGTAAGTAAAGCATCGCAGCCAAGCGCTTGGCATCTGCAACCAGTGAGAGAATTTCATCGTCGCCCTCTCCCACCTCTTGGACTAAGTTCTCTAGTTGGCGTTCAAGGGAGGCCGCACGTAGTGAGAACGATGCCTTGTCCGTATCAGACGTATGTTGTCTCCTTGTTCGACTCATATCCGTGATTTTGGCCAGGATTGAGACCATTTCAGGACTGCACCCCATCCAAAGATCGATGTTGCGTTCGTCCGGTTTCCAGTAGTCGGTACCAAACAAGACCTCTTTGGCACATGCGGTTCGACCCATGACATCCTGGAAGGCAAAAAATTGCTCTGCAAAAGTCGTCACAGGATCCGATGGGGTTGTTGACTGCGATAATGCCATTTGCTGTTTTCTTCGCAGTCGGATTAAATCGTTGGCGCCTTTCAGATGGATGGTCCATTGTTGATCGCACTTGTCCACTATCTCGTACAAACATAGCATGATCATGATGACCAGTACTTCAGGATCCATGGAGCATGTCAAAGTTCCCTCTGACGAAAGCCGTTGACGAAGGTCCCTCAAAGCCTCTGATTTATAACGCAGGCCGATTGCACTATAGCTTGGATTGAACCTTGACCAGTGGCATGCTCCCAATGCTTGAATGGCTTTGAAAAGCGTAGGAGAAGCCGATAGACAGAATGGAAGAATCACAGAGGCAAACGGCGAAGAGAATGTGGAGCTGGCGGTTGTGCGAGGGCACACTTGTTGAAGATAGTAATCGAATAGCTCTCCGTGCCCGGATCTGGATAGATCTGGAAACAGTGCAAGAGACGGCGGAAGGCTTGGGTTGAAATTTGGGCTAATCCCTCTGAGATGTGGGAAATGTTGTAACCAGGACCATATTTGGTGGTTTCTGGGAAATGGTGAGTCAGAGCTTTGCGCAATTGAAACCAGTGCATTCAACTCGTCGAAGTCAACGTTCACTTCATCTGGGTGTTCGAAAGTTGACACACCGCTGTTTATGAAACCCCAAGGGTTAATAGTTGGCACTGGACACCACTCATGCATTTCCGAGGAAAGCGAGCCATGTGTAGGTCGTGTATGTTGATTTGCGCCGGTTTTGTTCCACACACCTGCACGCCCAAAAGCCACTCCACGACTGATGAATTCCGATTCCCATTTTAAAACCAGATTCTTCATGCATGGCAATCCTTTCTCCCGGCAACGTGTGCAAATGGGCTTTTTTATGTCACACCGGACGCGACTCGCCCGACATTCTTTGCAGCCATCGCGAGATCGGGTCTTCACCGGACCTGTACGGTCTGCAGCTTTTCTTCGTGGCATACGAGTTACCAATTGAAGTATAAACTTCACATGGTATGAATCAGCTTAGGGTCAAGGATTGTTGAGATGGTTGAAGTCGGCAAAGAAAATTGCGGGTCGCGAGTGGCGGAGAAGGGGTCTTTGCCGCCAAATCTATTTAGCTACTACACACGTATATTGTATATACCTACGGAGTAGGGTGTGTTACAAAAGAACCTCGTTCAATAATTTGCCCCATTACAACACGATTTTTTACTCATCTACCCTTTAGAACTCAAATGTAGTGTCTGCTCACATTAGACGGCCATGTGAAATAGGGGAGGCACACGCAGCTATCGTCGGGGGGATATCATCTGTCCGGCGGAATCTTGCGGTATGGTCTTTTCCACAATTGGTATTCTGCGGAATCATCTACAGAACGTACATAGCCTCAGCGGGGCTGATAAGACGCGTGTGCATGTTCCCCTGCATACTACAACAGTGCAATGCCCGCTGCAGTCTTGCAGCACCGTTGTCCAGACCGTATCCATATACTATCAAGTCAACAGATGAATTGAATTGAATACTAGGCATTGTTTTTCTTCCACTCTGCCGCACAATCGCCAAATGTCACAAATTCAACCTCGTCTCCCTGCTCCTTGAGCCACGAAATCATTCGGTCAATCATCCCAATCACATGAGCCATTCCACTGGTATCTGGGTGCAGGACCAAAGGGAAAACAAAGCCTTGCTCGGAATCTTCCTCAATTGATTTTTCGAGAGCCTCACTGTAGAGGAACTCAAATCGCGACTTCCAATTCTCCTCAATGGTGATCGTACTGACAAAACCATGCGAATTGGCAGTACCTGCTAAAAACTGGAGAGGGGTCATGTCCTCCATATACCAGTTGCACGGAATTTCAACCAAAGTCTGGGGAGTCTTGGCTGCAGGGGCAGGGAGGGGCTTCATCCAAGTGGAAGCAGACTTAGAAGGCGAAAAGTCAATGGCCTTGGGCTCTGACACGCGAGGGATAAAGTACAACGACGAATCATGATGGGTAAGAGAGGAATCTGGCCTGAATTTAGTTCTCTTGGAGTCACATATGATATGAACAAAGTAGCATACCATATAAAAATCCAAACTCTTCCAGAACTTGAATGGTGTTTGTTCGCAACTGATACAATGGCGCCCTCCACCCTCGAGGTTTCTCTCCGGTCAAGTCGGTAGCCAACTGCACACATTTGGCAATAACTTCTCTCTCCTGTGATTCGGTCATTTGACTGGAGCCCTCATGCGCATATCCATGGCAACCGATTTCGGCGCCCGACTGAACAATTGCTTTGGTCTCTTTTGGGAACGATTCCATTGAATGACCGGGCACAAACCAAGTCACCGAGGAACTTATCCCATGTTTCTTAAACAGGCGCAATAAGCGTGGAACTCCAACTTGAGCTGCGAAAAAGCCACTGCTGTAATCGGCCAGATTGGTTGTAGCCGAAGCACCAGTGCCTAGAAAACCCGAGACGGCATCAAAATCCACGGAGAGTAGAATTTGGACTTTTGGTTTCCGGGAGGAAGGCATTTTTAATGAATTTGAGTGTGATATTGTAATCTAAGTAGTGAAAAGGTCAAGGTTAAGGGGAAGACGAAGTTCGAGTCAACCGAAAGACGACCCGACACTCTGGATCCACCCCGCCATAGAGAGATTCTTCAGCCCTTACAACCTCAACTTTTGTCTTTGTCAACCTTGGAATTCACATCTGAATTGGAGAACAACATGTGCTTGACTCCGGCTCAACAAGTCTACTCTTGTTATCTTCTTGATTGGACACAGCAACATCTAAGCTCGGGTTTCCCGTAAAGAAGTTGACCGGTTTGAGAGCAACCACCATCTTTTCAGATGGCATCACTGGCCAATCCTCAATTCTCGGATTGTGAGTCGATCCAAATGTGTGCCAAATAACAATGTCTTCGTTTCGCACTGTTGACTTGGAGTCCGGGTTATTTCTACGCTGAGCAATAGCTGAGTTAATCCCTTGGCCACCAAGGGACTGCATAGTATGTTTTCCGGCTGGGAACAGCTCCTCATCGTTATAACGAGTGATCCAGATCGCGTGGCTCCCATATTCAGATCGCTTTGCATGGAAAGACTCCGGATGGGCCAGTAGCAGTTGGCTATAGCATGGAACGAGTTTGAATCCAACCGGCGTACCGGTGATAGGGTTGACTTTCGCCTCATTGATAATCTTGAAAGTGCGATTCTTGTTAAAATCAAGATCTAAACCCCCCTCTTCTGTCACAATCTTTGAATGTGTTGTGTACCCGACCCCGAATGGATTTCGAACGGATGGGTCGTCAAAGGGCAAAGCGTGGGACTCTTCAACCTGCAACGAGTTGGCAACTCCATCAATCGCAGGATCGATACGAAGGGAGAACAAGTGTTGGTGATATGGTGCAAGAACACCTGGAGCAACAATAGTACCATACCCAACGTTGTCACCAATGTTGATAGGACTGGTAGACAAGATCCCAGTGGCCCGAACTTCATAATGAATCGAAGCATCTTGGCCAAAGTGGAAAGCAAAGATATACTCATAGTTGCTGACCGTGATGATGGTTTGCAAGACCAGAATACGTGACCTCACCACCGCGGCATTGCCTGTGCGGAAGTTTGTGTGCTTCCATAATATCCCATCATCTTGCTCATGACAGCAGATGATATTGGGCAATTTCAATGGTTCTCCCGAGCAAGTGTTGTGCCATCCATCAAAATATTTGATCAGTCCTAGGCAATCACATCCAAGACTTAGGTTATTTGCATTGATACCTGCACCATCGTTACCAAGGTCAAATGCAGCCTTGCGTGGAAACGGAGCACGGGGATCACCATAAGGCACAAACATCTCTGCCAAAGACAGTCGATAGAAGAGACTCCGACGGTCATAACGAATGTCATGTAAGGTGAGACCCTCACGATAATTGAAACCCACTCGCATAGTCCATTTCTCCCAGGTTAATAGGTTTCCATGTGACTTGAAGGAAACCCCTTCTGGCTGGACAACCTGGTAGGGTTTGGTGGTTGTGCGCGGTGGTGGTCGTAGACTGGGATGGTATTCACTCATAGCAGTGGAATGGACCTTGCAAGTATCGTATGGTCGAGCTTCTTCATGAACCCTTTCACTCTCAGATGAAGGTAAATGGTAGACCTTGGTCACTTTGAGATGCTCAGAGACCTCTGCACACAAATCAAGTGGATATGCGTAATAGTTAGCGTCGGCATTATCAACTAGTCGCATGTAGAACCAACACTATGCATATATGTTAGCTGGGATATAAATATTGCAAACATCGTCAGACAAATACTGACCATGCTAGTCCGCTCCGACATGTCGTTCATGCCATCAGTCGCATAAGCCCACGGTTCAACAACGACCGAGGCCCCTGGAGGTAGCCTCAGCTTTCTGATTTCATTTTGTACCCTTTCATCTGCCATACAGGCATTTTCAACATCTTTCATGTAAGCCGAGTCAATAAACGAGTGTTTTCCCACCAGGATCTCTTGTTGAATAACAGCACACCGGTCCAGATCAACCAGAAGCTCGGTGAGTTCGTTTGACCCCGAGTCACCACGAACGATCCCTTGAATATAAGCGATACGAGTAGGTCGAGAGACTTGGGGCTGTTCAAGATGTTCTCTCTCCAAAAATGCTATCATCTCCTGCTTTGGTGGCTCTTTCAAGGTGATGACACGAAAGTTGAAACTTTTTCCATGGAGTAGCTCCTGGACAACTTTTGCTGCCTACTATATGGTAAGTATGAAATTTAACTTTTCTCTAATAGAGAGGAATTACCTTGGTAATCTCCTGGGGTCCAAGAGGGTCAAAAGGGTGTGTATCAGACATAATGGTAGTATTTAAGATGTAGATGGGAATAATGAAGACAGTGTGATTAATCTGGGCTTTTATAATTCAACCTGCAAGATATATAATCAAGATAACAGGACAATGCACGAGATTCGCTAAGATATAAGAATAACCGAAAAGATTAGCTGGTCAATCGCTAAGGTAAAGAATAGCCGGAGGACCGAATATCTTCGACTCCAAAGGTTAGAACGGAAATATTTTGGTCCATAGGTATGATTTAAATTGTTTAGTCTTTGAATATGATTATCTGGTTATATATTTTTGAGTTATTTATGAAGACTCGAAGTATATGCTCCGAGCTTCCAAGGTATACTACTCCAGCTTGGTAATAGACCATATTATATAACCGAACATAACAACGTATCAATCTAACAAGTATGATATCATTTGCAATTACTATGTAGAATCATAATGCAATACACATGTATGTATACTCAGTTAACTATGTAGTGTACACATGTCTTATGATTTCGCCCCCATCCTCGTGGCTTATCTCCTGCCCCGCCTCAACTCCTTTCTCCCCTCCAACTCGTATACCCACTGCAAAACACTGCAAATCACTGAAAATATGACTTCACCTCGCACCATTCTGGTCTTCCAGCATGATGCTAGTCTACACATTCTTGAAACCACGGTGATGACCGTTTTCCCTTTCGATGTTCTCGAAGAATCGAGTCGTCTACTCTTCAAAGATGCCAGCGAGGAACACCACGTCGTTGTCACTCAGAAAACTATTTTCCACCCCCAAGGCGGCGGTCAACCCTCCGATACGGGTGTGTTAAAAGGCCCATCTGGAACTTTCACCGTCACGGCTGTTCGCACGGATCCCAATGGACAGGTGCTTCACCTCGGTCTCTTCGAGGGCTCATCATCCGCTTTCAGAAGAGGCGAGAGCGTCCAGCAGGCAATTGATGTAGAAAAGCGTCTACTATATTCACGTTTGCATACTGCAGGACATGTACTAGGCGCATCTGTCCGACATCTTTTGGAGAAAGAGATTGAGAACTTCGATGAACTGAAGGCCTCACACTTCCCCGACTCGGCAGCATGTGAGTTTCAAGGCTCGATTGAAGGAAAATGGAAGGATTCTATCCAGAACAAGCTGGATGAGTATGTCCGCGCCAAGATGCCTGTTCAAATCGAGTGGTGGGATGAAGAGGATTTCCGCTCGCGTGGACTGGAGCGATTGATTCCTGATCGTAGTTTGGTGCCCGCAGGTGAAAAGTCTCGGGTGGTCAACATCGTGGGCGCTGAAGTTTACCCTTGTGGAGGCACACATGTCGATACGACAGATTTGTGTGGACCTGTGACAGTGAAGAAGATTTCGCGAAAACAAGGAAACTCGCGAGTAAGCTATGTGGTGAAATGATGTTGATTCATTTGTTCCATGTCCAAATTTTGGGAACACCAAATAGACAGGGAGTGAGGAGAGCATGACAAAAGTACCCCAATAGACCAAATCAATAGATAGTTTCACGAGATTTCACCTCGGCAATGTGATACAGAAAAAAACATCGACAGTACTTGTGAGAGCGGTAGGACTATGTCAGGACCAGACCGTTGTTGTTTGGGACAAGGGTCCAAGAAGCAAAAGCCATTAATAATACGGGTGAATACTCCAAGGTAGAAACATGATATGATGTCTAGAAGTAAGTGCTAGGTTCATCGAGATGGCTCTATGTCCTGGAGCTGATAGTTTTCCTGACTATCGTGTGAAATGAAGGGCTGCGCAAGAGCCTCCTCATCACCCAATTTAGCAAAGCCATCGGGTCCAGGAATATCAGCTTTGTCATAAGGAACGTCACACATGACCGACCGCAGCGGTGGATAGTAGCGGCGGTACGAGAACCAAGCTATCAGCATGCCCAAGAGTCCTCCACACGTCACATCATATACATCATGTCGATAATCGGCTAGGCGAGATAGGGCAACCATTAAAGCACACAGTAATGGGAAAAACGCAAGTAAACAGCGCCCAAGATCCGTTCGAGGACGGAAGACATGCATTTGACCACACAAAAAGCTATATGGTCTTTGTTAGATTGAGTGTCCCAGCGCTGTGCGTTTGAAGAATGACCTACAGATATAGATAGCCCAGACCACCAAAAGAGAAGCTGCTATGTCCACTAGGGAAGCTCCTCCACCCCTCTTGTAAAATGTGTTGGTTGGATTCTGTGCAGACGGTCCATGCGACCAGCGCATTGTTCGATGTACCTCGGGAGGGCTTGCAGCGCGATAACAAGTCCGGACGTGGTCTCCCCGCCGCATTTTTGATTATGTCCGTTACGAACGATGTCAACATCAAAGCCACGAATAGCCCAAGTACTGTCACTTGGGTCTTTTGCACACCGGCGCGAAACATTGCGGACCAAGCGAGAATAACCAGGAAAGGAATCAGACCAGCGAAGATGACCGACCACACTATTATTTCCTGTTGGAATCAAGAGAGACAGACTGTATCATTGGCAATTGACTTACAAACAGGAACTCGTTCGTGGACGGCGAACGGGTACTGAATGGATTTGTTATCGAGCGAAAACATGCGATGGAACGGGTTCACGAATAATTGGATCTATTCATGTGTCAGAAAAAAAACCCTGTATGTATCCACCATTGATATCGTTAACGACTTACTAGTACCCATCCTACCACCAGAAATCCCAATGCGATGTAGTCGGCGGCATAGGTCCGTTGAGCAAAGCGAGCTGCAGCACCAGCGAGTCCAACGCGTTGTAGAATCGGGGTCGAGCCGTTCCCCGAACCATTGTGAGGCATCCTGCACAACTGCCGAGGACTTCAGAAAGATCTTCAGATCTTCACTGGGAGCATGTCGAGATTGAAAAAGGTCAAGTTGACATTCGACGCATTCCGGAAGCACAGACCACGTCACCGCCTCTCTCCGCTCTGTCTTTCGCAAACACACCCAAGAGGAACTTCCACACTTCCACTCTGCCCACTTGGCTCACGTTTCTCTCTTTTCTCACGTCCATCACCTTCGTGCTGATAGATATGGCCGACGAGAACCAACAACGAGCCGTGAACACAGCATTTGCGCCCCCACCACCCTTATGGAAACACTTTACGCGCGAGAATATCGACAGGGTGGAGCAAATCAAAGCCGAAGCTTCCAAGAGCGAAGATGGACGGTTGAATAAGAACAAGCAATGGTCAGCAGCCGAATTGCGCGCTCTGCAGCTCCCCTCAGAGCTCCGGTACCTAGTGCCGCCCGACATCCCTGAAGGACAATACAGCGTCTTTGGCGAATTGCAAACTGTTCGTGCCCCTAAATCTGAGCTCTGCGCCTGACAAGACTGACTCTGAAATAGCTGTCTACAACATTGCCATCCTTACAAGAGCAAGGGATCGAACAGCTCTATCCAGAACCCCCCGCTGCCGGTACCGAACAGAACTCGCAACCCTCGCCCCCTCTCAATCACGCATACTACCTTCTCAAGATCAGCAAGTCTCTGCTCCTTAATTTCCTAGAATTTACCGGTATCTTGTCGGTTTCGCCAGAACAATTTGAATCCAAGGTCGAAGACCTGCGTAACTTATTCATCAATGCGCACCACCTTCTCAACCTCTACCGTCCCCACCAAGCCCGCGAATCACTCATCATGATGATGGAAGAGCAGCTCAACCACAGCCGAGAGGAAATGAAACAAATGGACAAAGTCAAAGCGGAGATTGAGAGTGTACTAGAGCAATTGCAAGCGGAGGGCAGCCGCGTGAGTGGCACTGGGTCGGAAGACGATACCGACCAGGCCAAAGCGCTGAGAGAAAAGACCGATGAGCACTCTCGATTGATCTGGGATCTGCTGGACAAAGAAAACTGAATTCAACAACGGGCTGGTCCTTCGAAATTTGAACAGTATTGCCTTCTCCAAGTCGACTGGCTGGATTTTTCCTGCACTTTCTGTTCAACCGTGACACTGCTTTCAAAGTTCCACCTCATCCTTTAATAACCCAACGCGGAAGACTCAAACCAAGGAGCCATCAACATCCAACAATATGTCCCTCGGGGATTCTATCCCATGCGTGTGATAGGCACGCAAGCCCACTGGGATGCTAAATCTGACGCCCTGATGTGTTGATTGAATGATGGCGCCCTTCGCATCATGCCGATGCAGATATTGGACCACACCAATATATGGATGAAATCCTCTGATGTTCTAACAAGCTGCTGCCACAAATGGCACCTTATTTCAGAACACTGAACTACCTGAGACCCGCTGCCTCAAACCCCCATTGCATTTACCCAAGGAGCCGCAACATGCCAATTTCGCGTGAACCTCTGCCGGGAATTATTGCTTACAATTACAGACCGCATATATAAGATATCATTCTATTGAACACTCCTCTGACTATCTCTAATCAATGCAATATAAATGACCGAGCGTCCTTCTATTAATATTAATAATATCTCCGTCAATTCTAAGTACCATAACCAATAAACTCCCCCCGCTAATTTCCAGCCAGTGATATCGACCTGTAAAACAATAGGAAGAAAGCAATGTGCAAATCAATTAGAGGCGGCGCGCTGCTCCGCCCAGGCCTTGTCAATGGCACACTCGGCCAATCGCTTTAATTCTATAATGAAATCGGCGACCAATTTGAAGTGCACAACCTCATTTGCATGCAGTTTCCGTGAGAAGATACGCTCAATCATAACAGTGGCGACTTTCAATCGGCCCAAGTCTTCGCGCGAATGTGGGTCCAGTGGGTTCTGAAGAATGCTGCAGAAGATGGTGAGGAGCGCAGACATAGGGTAGAAGATTAGAGTCCTGAGACGGATTAGCTTGGGCTTCAGATAGCAGGACAAAAATTACATACCAGAAAACACCGTCAACTACTACATGTTCTGCCGCTTCGAGGTAACATAGACTTGATCGACTGGCCTCCACTGAAAGTGCCATACTTGAACTCACTCCATCCATCATACCACTTTGTCCTTGCATCCATGCCTTGCATCTTCCACTTGCTTGATGGATGATGGTCATGCATAAGTGATAATTCATACGCAGCATGACAGAGTGCATACCCATATGCGGATCGGAGGTCTCGGGAGAAAAAGACATGGTTGGACGCCATCTAGGAGGGACAGATAACCGCCATTCTTCTAGCGCGTCATCGAGTTCCCGGATTGACTTGAGCAGCTCGGCGTCTGATTTTTGGAGACAGCTAACTGAATATAGCTCTCGATGCGCTCGGGATTTGATCATACTCAGGCGCAAGTCAAATGGAAATACTGGGCCGTACCATGGGGCCTCCTCGTTTTCCACGTCCAAAAATGCTCGATCGAGATAGCCCGGTGGAAGTGTTAGCTCACAATTTTCGTCGGCGATGGTAGGCGGCTGACCCGTGCGCAGGGCAAGGTCTTTATCAAGGGTGTAGCAAATCCAGAATAGATTCCGTAGTTGTGAATGCTTTTTCTGGCTGCGCTCATTCGCCGACATCCCGTCACCGCGAAAAAGATTACCACCAAGCATGAAAATGAGTCGTGCAGCAACTGCCGCATAGTAGTTTGTTGCCCGCATATTTCCAGAGGATAGCTCGAAGACAATCTTATGTATTCATGGTCAGTTACCGGACCTATGCAATCAGAAAGGCTCACTCACCAACATGGTAAGAGCCTGCGCCGCGTCCAGACTGGCAGACTCTTGTAATACTTGAGGCATAAGGAATTGTGCCTTGGTAGCAAGTATATCATGATCGATTGGACTGGTTGTAGGAGAAGTCGCCTTGACAATGTCCTTGACATTAGGTAGGCGAGAAACAAAGGTAAGAAATGCAATGACACAAACTCTGGCACTAGCTTGGCCATATTTGAGGGTAGACTGCGATTGACTGTAAGCTGTTTTGAGGGTCTCCTCAAAAAGCTCCGGGTCTATCACAGGAAAGATGCGCCGCATCACCTTGGAGCTCGTATATGCCTGGAAGTATACCTGCACTGTTCTCCAGTCGGGAAGTTCATAGGGATTGCAAGTGTTCATGTTCATGTTCATCATAACAGTGTTGAAGGTCTGTCCGCGTTCTTTATCCCAAGGTGCTCGCGCTGGACTAAGTTTGTCAATTGCGACATGCTGTCCGGTGCGAGTTTTGATCCATTCCCGTCCCTCGGGAAAGAGGAACGGGGTGCCTGTTAGTAAACTGATAACACCCAGCTCTTTTCCCGCAAAGTGAACTCGGAACGACGATGAGTCTGGAGACTGAGTGTTGCTTGGAGAGCTGCTGGCAGTGGTGTTGGCTTCGAAAGATTGAGGCGAGTCTTCAGGCACTTTTGCCAATTAGTCTCGGGGGTATTCCTAGGTCTGCATATTGAAGAGACACTATACCAGAAATTTGATCACCCATTAAGTTCTCTGCCAAAAGCTGCTCGATGCGACTAATTCGCTCCGATAGTCGTGAAACTTTGGGGCGTCTTCTCTCCAACGTCAGACATATAGAAGAACACGCTCGAGGTACAGACTCACCCCTCCTCATTGACATTTTTTCTTTTCCTCTGCACCACTCTGTCGAACGTACAGGCGATATTATGATGACTGCACCAATTACACTGCGGAAGTGCAGCATCACATTTGATCTGGGACCAGTTTAGCGATGGGATCGAGGGTTGGAGAAGAACAAATCGACCTTTCTTTTGTAACAGGAATCACAGGCACGGGCAGTCCGTGTCCGCGGCTGATCATCCGAAGCATTAGATGCAGGATACATTGTATATTTGGTATGTCTTCAGGGAAATTGGAAATTAAGCTCAAAAGATTGCCGATAGCTGGCCCCGGGCCCGCTGACAAAGTGGCCGCTGACTCAGCTACAGCATGCCTCAGGCAGATCTATGAGTGAGATGTTGATAGAGAGATTTATATGAATTGGTTTGTGTAGTGTAAGTGATTACTGAGTTCATATAAGCTGCAAGTTAGAATAAAGCCATTAAAATAATAATATATTGGTGCGCTCGGGGTATCGCATGCGTACTTGACCATCGGAAACGGGAATGAAATTAAATGCAGTATCTCCCAATCCCCTTGGACCCTGATTCACACATATTCCCCATAAATTTCCCTCATCTTGACCGCTCCACGTGCGATCGGACCGTCAACCACCGAAATCCCCAACCAGAAAGAAAAGCGTATCGAGGGAGATTGAGAGGAATGGCAGCCAGCTCACATCACAATGCATATGCAACAATCGCACTCTTCATCGCCGCAGTCACACCCAAAGCATGGCTTGGAGACTGCTTTGATGGGCTTTTTAATGGAGCTACCAGAGCTGCTGGAAGGAAGGGTACAATCGAAAGGGGTTGAAATAGAGGTGACGGCCATGGCGGAGGGCAAAGGCTTGGATCTATTGGAGATTGTCAGTCAAGTCCGAAAGAGAAAGGGAACAAAAGGGTATAGATACCAGAAAACAGCGTACCTTTCAAGCAAAGATAAAACAAGGGGTATAGGGCTGAAAGCAGTGGGGGTTGGGGGAAATGAAGGGAAAAGTGAGAAAAGTAGGTCCCAGCAGGCAGCCATATATTAAATGTTCCCACTTAAACCTCTTCATTCCCACGAGATAGCCCAAGAATTAAATCATGAGTTGAAATGAGGAATATTTTTATAATCTCCATATCAAAATGGGCCACGTCACAACAATATAGTATACCATCAAGCCTCAGAGCATACTTAGGGTACAAAGACAGGATCCATGTTGTATACCTCGCTTGGACTTATTTGAGTGTTATATGTCCCTATGTAATTAATATAGTATTCCTTCAGTGTATATTTTAGAAAAAATCAACTAAAAGAGAAACTCCGCTCTCTGGCAATCGGCATGACTTCTGTCTGTAATAACATCATCTTTGTCCCATTCAGATAACAGGCTCTAGAAATAAATGTTAGTATATTTTCATAGAGGTCAAGGCATTGAAGTGACACACACATGAAACCCATACTCAAGCTCATTGCGGTGGACATCTTTCCCTTGGCTTTCATGTTAAGATTCCAAATGAAGATCCACGGAAGAAGAGCAAAGTAGAAGTCCACAGCAGCACACCAGCTTAAATTGCATCAATATCAGCGTAGGATTCATATAAACAGCCGAGGAGGGTATCATACATACAAGCAAAACGGAGAAAGGGGTGACTTGGACCACAGTATGCCCTGAGACGCGAGGGTCATATATAGATTGAGACGGAAGACGTTGGACCTAAAAGATGATGGCAATCATTACCGACACAATGAACAAGCTGATTATCGAGATCCATATTGAAATACGATGTCATTGCTTGGCAGCAATGCGAAGCAGGAAGATTCCCAGCGACAGCTTCGCAATCGCCATTCCTAACACGGCAAAAGTTTGTCCAATCATTCGTTATAGACGGCCTTCACGGCTGAGTCCATCTCCAAGGTACTTATGGATTGTCCAAATCCATGTCCACCAGCAATCATGAGAAAGTCGGTGTAAAGAAGTAGAAATATCTAGAGTTAGGTCGGTATTCTATCACAGGACTAGCGTTAGGAGGTTTTACAGATGGGATTGGTGGGGGAAAATCTTACCCAGGTCAAATTGAAGACACTCCAAGTGCCTTCACAGTATATATTCGTGTATAAAACCTGAGAGGAACCACAATAACAGAGGGCAAAGTCATCGCTCGCATTACCGAAATGGCACGAACGCCTTTGCCACCCAACAACATCTTCCAAATTCAGAATGCCATTCAGATTAGAAACATCAAGCCCTATAGAACAATGGAGACCGAGAAATTAGATATGTTCCATGTTCGCCAGGGAAAGTACCATGTGGTTGACCCGCGAGCTGCACACAACGTACGGCCCAGCGGTCCGCATTGGCCCCAATGTGCTCGACCTAGATATCCCCGAGTCGATCAAGACAATTGACAACATCAAATCGGATTATTTGAAGGTGAACATCTCTCTTACCGTAAGTGGTGACTAGTATTGATCATCCCCTGTGACAGGCCGAGTTTTATCATGGCAGTCTACAATCTCTTCAGCGAGTGCAATGCTAAATTGCATGCATAGAAGAAGAGGCCTATCTCGAAACATTATTCCCTGACAGGCCCATATCGATGATATGATCTCCTACTTATGTCAACGCCTAGAGGAGAAATTCATCGATAGATCCAACCCGACTGAGACACGCGACCTAGGTGAATGGATTGCGGATTGTGAGTTCAAGTCCTGTACATCTGTCCTTCCTGGGGATTATAAACCAACCAGACACCTGGGACGTGGTTGGCAATGCCACATTCCGCCAGCTAGTTGGTTACCTAGAAAAAGGGTGCAACTTTGACAAGACCCTGCGTATCGCGAATTTCGCCATGGATTTTGCCATGGACTACTTTTCTCTAGTAGGACAAATGCCAATTCTGGATCCCTTGGGAAAAAAACCCCCCCGTCTACCGAATCGGCCCGCCGCTCTTCGGGACTGTCGCCAACATATCAATCCAGCACCTCATGGATCGATTTCAGAACAAGGACACCCACTACCATGACCCCAGCAAGCCCGAATTCCTATAGTTGGCATAAATTTCTACCTTGTGGGCGCAATAATACGTCTGACTTGGGCGAAGATGCCGAAGAGTTCGTCCAGAGAGATGGCTCCGCGATGAGACACGGGAGACCGAAGATTACTCGCCGGAGCTGAAATGCTGCGATCTACGACAGGACAGGTCTACAAAGGGGATATAGGTGCACAAGTAGGTAGACTTTGCACAAAAATTCAAAGTTGAAGATCAAAGCATGTAGTCATTGACAGTATATACAGCAGCAACTTTTGAGGGGGTTCATCAATCATCGCCGCAGTGACTGGGGTATCGTCTAGTCATCTCGGGCTTCCTAGCCATCCGTCTATCCATTAAATAAATCCTTTTGTGTTCATCAATCCATAACAGAGAGCATTCGGCTTACAGCTGCTCCACCCAGGGAGCGGCACCGGGCTGCATCTGGTTCAGCCACTTGACAAGCTCAATGAGCTCGGCCCGACGCTCATCCTCCAACTGATCTTCGTCGCCGGTGAGAACCGACTGGAAGACAGGAAGGAGGCTAGGGGTGAGTTCGCGGATAGTGATATCCTCCCACTTGTACATCTGGCAGATCATGCGGTACAGAGGCTCGTTCTCTTCAAAGTCGTTCTTCAGGGGAAGAATGTTGACGAGAGCAGGAAGAACATCCTTGGTGGGGACACTGTCACGGTAACGCAAGATCATGCGGCTGACACAGCCGGTGGCGTTATCCTGGAGACGCGAGACATCCATCTGAAGGCAAGCCTCAAGGCGGGCGAGAATGGTAGGGATCTCCTTGATGATCTCGGCCTCAGCGTTGGAGTGCTGGATCAAACGACCAACGGCGTAGGCAGCGTTGGACTTGGTCTGAGAGTCCTCATCAGCGAGGCGGTGAAGGAGCAGCTTCAAGAAGACAGAGGTGAAGGGGGTCACTGCGGCACCCATGCCGTTGATGCACTCAGCGAGGACACCGACAGCAGTGGCGCGCTCAAGAGACTCAGTGCTACCAGCGTAACGAAGAATGGTCTTCTCGAATACCTTCCAGAGCTCAGCGAAGCTCTGACCCATGGCAGCGGCCATGCCAGAGACAACGTCCAGGGCAGTGTCGACAACGATCCAGTCGAACTCGGAAGATTCCTCACCAGCCTCGAGAGTCTCCTCCTCAGGGCCGAATTCCACTTGGCAGATGTGCTGCTTGGTGATAATATCAGTCACCATTTGGATCACGTTGTGAAGCATGGTCTCGTTGGCAATGAGGGCGGGACCGCAGAAGCGCAGGTTCTCGGCCATGTTGCGGTTAATATCGGCGACAGTAGAACTATTAAGTATCAGTCAGCAATCAAGTCATTGAATCGACAGTGATAGGTAATGAGGCAATGGTAGAAGTATATCTCAGAGTGTAGACTTCGCCGTTTACATCAAGTACGCCTTTGGCGCATCAAAGTGAGCTGGGTTAAGCGGAAAAACATCATCATAGAAATTGGGTTGGGGGGGCTAGGGGGAAAAAAGAGAAAAGAAAAGATAGGTTGAACATACCGGTCATCTTCTTCGGTCCACATCTTGACAGTGGCCGTCATGAGAATTTCACCGAACTTCTGGACCTCCTTGGCAGGCTGAACCTGAAGGGGGAGACCAGGCTGCCACTTGGGCATCTGGCCATTCTCCTCGGCGATGGCAAAGAGCATAGCGTATGAGCGGTGCAGAGTGCTAATAGTGCTCTTGCGAACACCCTCATAAGGGTGCTCACACAAGGGCATGACATGCTCAATGGTCTTCTCAAAGTAGGGCAGGAAGGCGCTGCGGGTGTGGGTGACAAGGTCACCGATGACCTCAACAGCAATCTCCTTCTCGAGAGAAAGAGGAGTGGTGGCGGTAATGTCATCCCATTCGTCCTCATCCTCAAGATCGACATCCTCGATATCGCCATCATCTTCGTCGTCGGCACTTGCGACCTTGACCTTGCGGCCGTTGAAGGTAACCTCCTGGCCAACAAGGTCCCTGGCAGCACTGCCGAGGTCGACATCAAGGTCGCTCTCGTCCTGTTCGATGCAATCATACAGGCCCTTTACAACACCGTCAAGGAAAGGAGCAAAGTGTTCGCCGTAGACCTTAGCCATAGCACCCCAGAAGATGTATGTGCTCTCCTTGAGACGGGAGTGACCGAGGTGCAAAGCTTCCTCAGTGGCGCGCATGAGAGGCTCAACGTACGGCTGGTAACGCTCGGGGCCAGCGGCGGCGGCCATCTCACCCATGGAGTCAGTGACACTGGCACGGAGGTCGAGTTCGTCCTCACTGTCCTTCACAGCAGCAAACTCTTGGAGGAGATGCATCGACTCATCGAAGAATGAGAGGAAGGAGTCTCCGGCAGAGGATGCAAGGGAGCCAAGAGCACCGGCAGCAAGAGCCTTGATCTTGAAATCGGGGTGCTTGAAAAGGTTGTGCAGGATAGGAACAAGCTCGGCCTGGTAAGGAGAAACATCCTTTTCATCGAGACCATCAACGACAGCATCAATGGCACTGATGCCGGCCTTGATGATATCGAGTGTGGGGCCTTCCTCCTCGCCCTTGTACTCTTGCATGGCGCTGGCCAGGTTCTGGAAGAGCAAGGGCATGAGGCGCGCATGCTCGGAGCTGAGATCTTCAACGAGATCCTCTGCGAGACGAGCGACAGCGTGCAACGAAGCCTGGCGGACCTTGGGGTCCTGATCAGCAAGGAGCTGGAGGACCATAGGGAAGATCTCCTTCATCTGAGTGCTGATGAAGTCGGGGGCACCCTCAACACACATACCGAGGGCCATGATACCAGCGCGACGGTAGTCTGGGTCGGTGTTGTTGAAGTATTGACCGAGGGCGTTGAGCAAGGGGACAACGACCTGGCTAGGAGGCAGGCTCTGGGAGAGCATGTCCAGGAGGCCGAGAGCCGAGCGGGCAGGAGTGATATCATCATCACCAGGGGCGGCATCGCCCAGCTCGGTCACAATTTGGAGGGCGGTGCGTGTGAGCTCCTCGCCAATGCGCATGCCCTGAACCTTAAGCTTGCGGTACTGGATGGTCTGCATCAGGAAGCTGATGGCCTGGGTGCGAACATCCTCATCCACCTCGGTGTTGGCAGAGATCTGGTTCATCAAGATGACCAGGTCCTTGAGGTGGACAGTCAGCAAAGCAGGGTCACAACCAAGCAGAGTCTGGAAGACTTCGAAAGACTGCATGATGTGGTCCTCCTCTTGCTTCTCAATAGAGTCCTTGAGGATAGCGACCATCGCGGGAACCATCTCTTGGAAAGCCTTGACGGGAGCCTCATCCTCCTCCGAGTCAAGGTGCATAGCAAGCTTGCTCAAAGACATGAGGGTATTGATGCGGACTTCGGCACTTTCGGGGTCCCGGATAGTCTTGTTGAAGAGGTTGAAGAGGTCCTGGAACTTCTCCTCAAAGCCTTCACCAAGAGTGTCCAAGATGGTGAAGAGAATGTAGATGGCCACCGCACGCTCAGCGGCGTTGCCATTGTTGCCAGCCTGCAGCAGCAGGTTGGGCAGGTCTGCCCACTCGCCGTCGTTCAAATCGATCTTTGCAATAGCGGAGATGATCTGAGCGATAGAGTGCTGGACGAGAGATGAACTCTCGGCCATGGTGGAGCGAAGCAGCTGCTCGCGGATTTGGGGCTTCTGGTCGGCGGGAACCTTCAACCAGTGTTTGGAAACGAGCGTACGGGACTCAACAGAAGAGAGCTGGCGCAGATTTTGGTCATCGTGGCTAGTGCAGATCTGGATGAGGAAGACAAGGGATTCGGGCTTGTTGTAGAACTCCTTTTGCAAGACTCCGGTGGCCTCCTTAAGGTTTCCCTGGGAGGCTACATGAAGGGGTCAGCGAGACGAACATGGGCTTCGACGTTGCAAGACGAACTCACGATCCAGGATAATCTGCAATTGCTGCAGGAATCGCTGTTGATCCATGATGGAAGGGGGGATGTGGAAGATTTTCAGGTGATTTTTCTTTCTTTCCTTCTTCCTTCGGCGGTTTCAGTTGCCCTAGCTCTCTATCAGAGACTCAGGCCACAGAACAAAGATTGAGCAGTCTGTCTCAGACAAACAACTCAAATGGGGTATCACAAAGCAATATTGACAGGAAGAAAAAAAAAGGAAAGAGAGAGGAAGATGAAGAGAAAAAGAAAGGAGAGTGGTGGGGGGAGAGAGAAGAAAAGGGAACAGGAAAAAAAAAAATTTAGGGGAGTGGGCTGGTGCCTGATTAGGCTTAGCGTGGGAACAATTGTCAACACGCGGGAATTTGGGCAGAGATTTCTTTGACTTCATTTATATTGGGTTATATTAGGGTTATATTAGGGAAATTGTACTAGATTACATGTATACATTATGTTGTACAGAGTACTATCATATTACGGTGATCATTCACACAGTCGGTCCTTATTGTAGTGTGTAATTGGGACATGATCATTATGACTATACCAGCTATACCTAAGTCACAGGAACCTTCATGCCTCACGAAGAATGTAAGAATTTCCCGAATTGAAGATAGAAAAATAGAAAGAGAGAAAAAAAATTTCAAAGATTCCTTCGCCCTAAAACTCCTCTTTCATCCATCTTGCTCCACAGAGAGCAAACTACAACATATGCCTCTGCAAAAATAACACCAGTTAACAAGTGCTTTGTTATGTGCTGGCACCCGTGCATCCGGTGAGTTCCAGAAGACCCACACCAATGAAGCCCCAAACAACCGAGGCACCACTTAATATTCATCAGAGTCATAATCATCATGGACTAGGGATGAGCGGTAGCCACGTGAAGCCAGATTGGCCTCTAGGCCACCGTCAGACGCAGGGTCAAAGTAACCTAAATCGGTCAGTAGAGTTCACATTATTCAATGGTGATGGGTCAATTTGTACGTACCGCCGCCGCCAAAGTAGCTGAGAGCTACTGGTAAGAAGATGAGAGCATGCGTAGCAGCAAAAATCACCAGGGCTAACCACACACGGAAGTAGTAGATCTCGAAGATCTTGCTCCGAGTAAACGCCAGGACACAAACTCCTAAAAGTTTGGTTACGGTGATACCACTGAAGACACTCCCGCCGACATTGACCAAAGCCGCCCATGCTCGAGCGTCCTTTCCACGGAATTCAGCAGGCACCTTCTCCATAATGGGTCGAGCGGGGAACATGAATGCCCGGGCAATGTGAGCACAGAACTCAACACCAATACCCACACAAATGATCAAATTGACAAGAGACACGGCGTTCAGGGAGACACCAGCAATCGCCATGGTGCCAATGATATCGACCACTATCATAACCACTGTAGTTGTAACGACAGCGCCCGTGGCTATCGAACCCAGTATAACAGAGGTTAAGACGAAGATGATAGCCACCGCCGACCCAAGAAGGGTACCAGTAAGTCGCACAATGGAAACGTATTGATCAAAGAAGATATAGAACTTAGAATATGGGAAGACGTCGATGTTATGCTCCTGTGAGATGCCATCTGCAATCCGGCGAGCTGCAATATATGCCTCGATGAATTCATCCTGGCTCCGAAGAGGCGTGTGACTAGTACGGAAATGACTGGCATTGATGGTCGTATACTTCTCATCAATCACCAACGCATTGCTGTAGGGCGCTTTGCCACCAAGGGGGCAAGAGGCATCGGTAGGAGCATCGATCCATTTTTTGGCATAATGGATAAATTCAGGTCCTTCTGGCATCCCCGAGAGAGAGATGTTCCAGGCAGGAACGCGATCCTCGAAACAAAGCTTGCCGTTTTCTTTGCAACAGTCTTGCTGGGGGTTCAACCAATAGAAGAAATCATCAATCCAGCTGGCAGCAGAGCCTGCAAGATAAGAAACATTCGGACGCTTAGACTCTTGCTCGAGAATAAAGGGTAGTGAATATTCCTCGCAAGTGGTGAACCGTCCACAGAGCTGTTGTTGGTGACTTCGCTCGCTAACATTCACATTCCGGGTCACGAAGTAGACCGGAGGCCCCACGCCAAAGTATGAATCCAAGTCGTTAAAATATGAAATCAGGTACGAGTCGCTAGGAAGCGCGATCCGTTGATCTAACCCAAGAGGAACCTCGGGAATAAAGGCTAGACCAGCAGTCAAAACACCCAAGAAAAATATAACAACGCCAACTTTCACTCGACGATCTAAGAGGAACGGAGCGTAGACTCGACGAATGAAGGCCTGCAAAGTACTCTCTGCGTCTTGTCCGCCGTGATTTTCCTCGGGGAAGCCGAACGAGTTTGCTTTTCGGACAGTAAGACAAGGGACACAGTCCGCACGAAGACTCTGCACCCGTCTCTGGTTCAGAGCCAAGACGGAGATGAACATGGTAATTTGCAGAATAGCATTGATGAAGACAGCACCGGCGGCGTATGCGGCGAAATTTTTGACAGCAGGCATACCAACAAAGACGCCCAGGGCAAAGGCCACTGTCTCCGTCAAAGCAGACAGGAAGATGCTAGGTCCGATTCGACTAACCGCTCGGGCAACTCGCTCGTCGATTTCTTCATCGGGATGGCTGATATTGACTCGCTCGAATTCGTGAACGATTAAGAAAATGTTGTCTACTCCCACTGCCAGGACCAAGAATGGAATAACTTCGGCAATGATCAAGGTCACCTTGACGCCCGCTAGCGAGAACAGTCCGACCGATGCAGACACAGACATCAAAACAATAATGATCCCGACAATCCCCAGTGTAAATTTGGACTGAACAAGAGCATTGGACGGGTTGGTCAGCAGAGACCTCCAGGTAACTGTGACCGAACCCAGGGCCATCGAGGCGTAGAAGAACATGATCAGATAACTGATGACAACGATCTTCGCATCTGTGTTGGTTGACTTATTCAGTTCCTGCTCCAAACTGACCTCGGAATTGAAAGACACGCGAAGGCCTCTCTCGGCAGCTTCTTCTTGGACCACCCCGAGAACGGCCTGGAAGGTGTTCTCCCAATCGATGGCGTTGGCTTCTTCTTCTGTTCCCTGTGCGTAGTTGTTTACAACCCAGGTCACTATGAGTGCCTGGGCATCCAGGACATTCCCTGTGTCTTCATATCCACCAAGAATCATTTCGGGCTTGAGGGGCTGCGAGAAATCGGGAAGACAGCTAGGGTCCCCAGGCGACTCTGTGCAGTGGTTTAGTCTGTCTTTCCACGTATCTGGGTCAAGATTTAAGACAGAACCGCCGAAATACCCAGTGACCGATTGCACGACACAGGCTTCTCCGGTCGGCTTGAAACAAACGTCATCAAAGTTGAGGGCCTGGTCCAACGAGATCACGCGCCGCACACGAGACTCGACATCAAACCACCAAGTGAGGGTTTCATAGTCCAAGAGCGGACGTGAATCGTTCTCCGGACGGTTATTCACCAAGAATGCCTGTTCAGCTCGGTAGAATGGACCAAAGCTCTGATCAAAGAAATCCTTCTCCTGGGCGGCCGCGGATGAGGGACTCACCCAGAGTCGCACCGGATCCGTTTCAACCGTGAAGCTCCACCACCCTAGGCTCAGCAGTGCCACTCCAAAGACACTGGAAGATATTGTTATTCCTGGGAAACGCGCACAAGCACCACCGACTTGATGGAACAAGGCTGACAACACAGAGTTGAGCTTGTACACTCCGTGTGACCTTTCCATATATCCTCCACGGTGCATGACTTCCCCCTCATCTTCGTCATCGCTGGGCGTAGGATCTTGCAGCAAGCGCACCCGCTCTGGTTTGCGGAACCGGCGTTCTTTGTATGTAACATAGCTCGCGAGAGCGATAACAAACAACAAAAAGATGGAATAAACGAGGATGACGGCAAAAGATAGACATGGTAGAAGTCCTACATGACATATCTCGTGGGGAGAGATGGCAGGCAACTCCGGACACACATCCGGGCAGTCGACACAAGAGCATCGGAATGATTTGTCCTCATCATTGCAGGCCTTTGGCCTTATTGACAAAGCCCCCATTCCTTGCGGGTCAGATCCACTAGGCTCTGTGTGATAGTTAATCTGGAACGGGCTTCCGAGAAACTTCTTATCACCTAAAAATTTCATAAAATGGGTATAGTCTTTCGCGCCACCGCCGATGAAGTCGATGGCTTTTCCACCCGATGCACCGTTCTTCACGTTCTTGCAGCTATCGAAGAAGCCGCTCTGGTACTCTTTGGACCAAATATTGTCCAACTCGGTCACAAGTCTTTTGCCAGAGCTGTTTTCTTCTGTTTTGGTGACATTGATGAATAGCGACTGATCGGGGGAGCACGTAAAGGTACAGAAGATGTTGAAGAAGTTGTCTCGGCAGGCGGGACAGGATGCGATAATTCCCTCTGCTAGTTTGAGGTTACTTGAAAGCGCGTCGATCTATGGTTGATCAGCATGAATGGGACAATATACAAAGACATGGCAACATTGTTGAATTTAGAGGCCGGGATCGCTCACCTGTTCATCTAGACAACAGACTGGGCCTTCGCTCCACTTGGTGCCACACAGATTTATCAACTTCTGGCGGACTGCGTCTTCTGGTTGCTGTGCCAGGTCATTATCGGGACAGGGTAGTTCTCCCCCGAAAATAGACTGCTTTCCACAATGACCTCGTATAGCACAACGGCCCTTTTCGTGGATTTTGGTTTCGCCCTGTGCACCGACAAGCATGGGCGCAAAAGAGCCCAGCCCAACTATCGCAGCGATAGCCCTGGGTAACCGCATCTTGCCGGGGCGGATAGGCGTGGTGAGAGAAAAGACCCTTTCTACCAGTCTTCAATTAAGATGTCGAAAGTGACACTTTCAATACTGGAGGTTGGCCATGCACTGGTCGCCGACCAAGTCCGTGTGGGGAAGGTTGCAGGCCGAACTCAGGAGCTGGTGCAAGGAGGGAATGCGAATTTTAAGGGACAATTCGACGAGATTGTTTGGTACAAAGATCCGAGTAGGATCAGATTAAGATCAATATTTTAAGCTCGATGGTGGCTAAGGTAGAAAAGGCAATAGAATAAGTAAGAGGAGAGAGCAAAGCAAGCTTTCAGAAAGTGAGTGACGTGAAGGCGGAGACCCCCGGTAGAGACATTGGTCCCCCCGCACGGGTCACGCAACAAACCCAAGTACCCTTTCCAGGTCGGCGCTAACGTCAGGCACGAATGATTTGGCTATATCGTGGCTCGAATCATATTGTAGAACTGACCTGTGTCTGACCTCTGTCTTCTTGGTATCTAAAAAACCGAGGTGGCTCAAAATATATTTCCCACCTTATGGGTGATTTTTAATATATATGTTCTTTGTCACTTGAAGAGAAGCTTAAAAGAAGTTTACGTTGTAAGCTCTTAAGATATGTAAGCTCCCTTTAAAAATTCTCATGATTTCATTCGGAAAAATAATACAAACATAGAAATGACCGACTCCGAGCTGAACCGCATTCTATGAACAGGAACTCCGAGTCTCAAAAGAAAAGAGACAAATGTGACTGTGTCTGCATCGCCAGTGATTCAGTTAGCGATGAGAACAAATATGAGAAGAACCCAGAGAGATATCATGAGATGTCACAAGTGAAAAAAAGATTGGCAAAACCATTCGCCCAAGGGGTATCATCACAATGCAGGCCTAGCAACATAAACATGCAACCTAAAAGCCGTCATCATCGGTCTGTTGGTAAACGTGGCGGGTTCGGGTCGGATCCTTGCGCATGGTTTGTCCAGAGCCTGTGAATCCCACTAGAAGATGAGACCAATTAGCATCCATAAGAGTCGAGATGAATAATTTATAGAAAATCCATACCTCGTGCATTAACACCTTCACCTGTGCGGAACATGCTCTCCTTTTTGCCGAACGCACCCTTGCCCTTGCCCTTGGTTTTCGCAGCGAAATCCTTCCATTTATTCTTGCCTTCTTCGAGCTCCTTCCCCGCTTTGACCTTGCGGGGCATCTTAGCGGGACGAACCAGTCCATCACTGGCTTTGTTGGGTTCATTGCGAGCCTGGGTAGCTAGTGCGGGATTGATATCTGCTGCGGCGGAGATCACACCGGGGTGAGGGAGAGCGGGCGAGGGAGGTGCCGAACTGCCTGGGGTTCCATCAGCCTTGCGCTTTCGCGAGTCAGTGCCAGAGATGGGTCGGATATCCTTGGCTGTCAAATTTTCCACAGTTGCATATGACTTGAATGTGACCAGGTACACTGGGTTGGTCGATGAGCCAGTGATGGAGTTAATTTTGGCCGGGTAGAAACCGTGATCGCCGGAGACCCAGCGCGCAAGAACAATGTCATTCACCGAGAACGATACGGGAGTGGTAGTTACAGCAGGTGCTTCCTCTGGATGCTCGGTAGGCTTTTGGAAACCATTATCCTTAAATCGGCCACTCTTGGGAGCCGGTTTGGCGGGCGCAGTTGGCTTGAGTTCGGCGATTTGAGTTTGGAGAACGGTAATGTATTCTTCGAGTTCGGTTTTGAGGCTGTTTAGTTCCACATTATCAGGGTCTACCTCCAAGCCTAATGCGACAGTTTCAATCTATTGATTATAAATTAGTTAACGGATCACAACGCGTGGTGACTTGGGGGGGGGGGGAAATTTGCAGTAACTAACCTGAGATTTGCATTCCGTCAGATCTGTCTCCAAGGAAGCGATATCAGCCATGGTGGATTCTGATTTAGATAATTGTGCAAGATACACCGTGATATTAGAAACTTAATCCGTTTGACGCGTATCTGCGAGGAAGTGAATGGATTGCGGAGAAATGATATTATGTATCTCAATGGCAAATTCATCCCGGGCTGATCACGTGCACTCTACTTCCGCCTTTTTCTCCGCCTTTGATATACGGTTTTACGCCACTATGTACCTACATGGATGTGTCCATGAGTACTCCGTACTCCGTACATAAGTACTAGATAACCTTGGTAAATTGTCAAGGCTTTTGATTTTGAGAGGATTGAGTCGAGTAAGCTTATATTCTATACCTAGGCCAGTAGGCATTCTATTTTATTCAGTATGTTATGATATGAAAATAAGTCATTACCTTAAATTACCTTATAGTATCGCATACATCATAGACCTGATAAGCAAGTCCGATAATCCACTTTCTGCAGATCGACCGAGATATGCATATTAAGGTCTACATTGCTTTAGAACTATGGAGTACTCCATATACTCCGTAAAATATGGTATATAAAACATGCATATTAAAGAAATTCCCTGTTTTCCTATGGGATCAAGGCAAAAAGTGGCAACGTCATTAAATGGTCTGACCTCGGGATAACTCGATCATACCGGACCGGGGATTGGGATACCCGTGGGGCCAGGCCCGTGAGACATACCTCCTATAATGTACGGAATAACTTGCAATTTCTGATGCCGAGGTATATTGCCAAGTCAAAGATATGAGTCAGATAGCATGATCAGATGAAACTGTACTCGGAATTCCGGGAGTAGGATCTACAACGGAGTAGTATATACCATAATCCGTGGTATGTTTACGGAGTAGTATGTATACAACATAGATTCAATCTTTTGAGAGAAGCTACTCGAAAGTGAAGAAAAAAAAAAAAAAAAAAAAAAAAAAAAAAANTCAAAGCAGAGACATTAACAACCAATCATATCTCTTAAACAATTCACCGCCCATCCATGATCGCCCTCCTTCCCCCCCCCCCCCCCCCCCCCCCCCCCCCCCCCCCCCCCCCCCCCCCCCCCCCCCCCCCCCCNCTTTCATCATTTCTCTTAGATTCTGCAGGTTTCATATTCCAATTTCATTTGCTTTCAATTCTTTCCATATCAGCCTCGTATTTGCCTGAGCCACACTTCTACCGCAATTTGACTAGCGGGGAATCTGTCCTCGCCTCAGGCCCCTCTCGTGAGCCGCTAGAAACTCTTCTTCCTCTTTCCCCCTCCATATCCAATATCGCCCCCTCAAATATCGCCTCACCAAAATTTGGAATTTTACTATCGGTTCTTACTTGCGACTGATAAAGATCCAACATACAATCGGATTGTTGAGATTGTCTAGACTCATAAATCTGGCCAAGCGGTGAAGCTATATTGCGAGGACTGAACCATCCTCCAACCCTCGTCGTTTTACGGCATCCATCAATATCTGTTACGGGCGGGAGGCCCGGCTGGACTCTGTATTGAACTCCACTCAATTTCCATCATCACCTTTCTCTTGTTTCTTGTCAGCCCCTCTATCCATTGGAAGTTAAACCGTCACAATGGGTGATTACGAACGATTCCAGCAAGGTCTTTACCTTTCCCCAAACCAACAAGATCTCCTGCTCGCCGCTCTATCTTCCAACAACCCCAGCCAAAAGCCTCAAAGTGGCTCTCCCCAAATCAAGTCCTCGCAAAGTCCGGACGAGAATTCCTCAAATGGCCTGAGCGCCCCTCCCTCGGGCGGGTTTGACAATCCTCATGCTGGCAATTTCGGGTTTGGGGATGACGAAAGCCCTTTCTTGGATTTCACCCCGGATGTTGACTTCGATTTCCCCGGTTCCGCCGACCTGATTGGTGACCTACCGGGGTCGGCCGATTATGATATCGGCGAGAAGCGAAAGTCCCTTGACGGGAAGTCGGACATTGAAGGGGAAGATTCTGGAAAGAAGCGTAGGGAAAGCGAGGCCAAGAAGCCTGGTAGGAAGCCACTGACTTCGGAGCCTACTACGGTATGCCACTCTTGCTGCACGCGGAAGTTGCTGGGACTAGAGTCGTGAACTGACGTGATTGAGCAGAAGCGCAAGGCCCAAAACCGGGCTGCCCAGCGAGCCTTCCGCGAACGCAAGGAGAAGCACTTGAAGGATCTGGAGGACTCAGTGGAAAAGCTCCAGAAGACATCGGACATGACAAACCAGGAGAATGGCTTGCTGCGTGCCCAGGTCGAGCGGTTGCAGGTCGAGCTCCGTGAGTACCGAAAGCGCCTTTCCTGGATGGCCTCGGGTTCAGGAAACGCCATCTCGGCGATGAGCTCGAATTCTATTCCGAGTGCCCATTCCAAGGGGGCCTATGGTCTCCAAAACAATGAGTTCCTCTTCGATTTCCCCAAGTTTGGCGATTTGCCTGGTGGTCATCTCTTCAACGGACAAGCCAACAAGAACGACCAATCCAAATCCAATGGCAACATCCCTCAGGCACCTGGTGTCTTGGGTCGTGACAATCTGCACAGTCCTTCGTCTCGATCGAATTCTCTTGTCCAGTCGAACAAATCGAAGTCCAACGGAACTCCTAGCAGCGCTACTTCCGCCAAAGCGCTCTACTCTGGCTTCAAGTCTTCCGCAAATGATACCTCCACTTCGGAGAATTCTCCGTCATCTTCGTCTGACTCGCACCAGAGTCAGATGCTGTCGTCGAATGGGACTTCCCCAGAACCAAGTCTGAACTCTCCTCTAGATGGGCAGTACCGTGAGCTGGGACCAGGCGATTCTTGCGGCGGACATGTCACTACCGATGGCGAGAAATCCTTTTGTGCACAACTTGGTATGGCTTGCGGCAACATCAGAAATCCCATCCCAGCGGTCCGGGATAACAGCAGATCCAAATCCCAGAGTGTTTCAAGCAGCCAACCCACCCCAATTGATGGCCCAACCGAGGGCGAAGATGCTCAAGATCTTGGAATCGATTGGTTGGCTCATCAGAATGGTGGCCAGTTCGATCCAGTGCTCTTTGGTGACTGGCGGGAGCCTCAAGATGCCGTGTTGTCTCAGGATTTCGGCTCTTTCTTCAATGAAGCATTCCCTCTGCCGGACTTGGGTAGCCCCTCCCACAACTTGTCCGAGGTCGCCACCGACGCGGCCCAACCCAAGAAGAGCCTTGTTGCCCAGATTGATAGCAGGCTTGAGGAAGATGAGGTCGTTCCAGGCGAAGACCAGTCGCAGATGCTGTCTTGCACGAAGATCTGGTATGTCCATGCTCACATACATATTCATCAATTTATCTTGCTCCAGATTACTGACTTTATTCTTTTCTCTAGGGATCGTCTTCAATCCATGGAAAGATTCCGCAACGGCGAGATCGATGTTGACAATCTCTGCTCCGAGCTTCGCACCAAGGCACGATGTTCTGAGGGTGGTGTAGTCGTGAACCAGAATGACGTTGACGCCATTATGGGACGAGCCAAGTAGTGGCTTGCTTCCAGGATGCTTACCATCACCGCCGCCCTTGGCACCACTCATACTCGGGCTTAATTCACGATTCACGGACCAACACCAACTCACTGATACTCGCGTTCTTTTGATTTCTACGCATACCCATCATCGATTGTCATTTATAGGAGGAATCCTGCTCGGCGTCATGAATACAACACAGGATAAAAGAGGAAAACTCATGGGAGGGGAGAATTCACATCCGATTCAACGGATATTTTGATTTTGAACACAAGTCTTTTTTTGTCAATCTATGTCCCATTCTTAAGGGGACAACACATTCCTTCTTCTTGTCTCCCCACATTTGACTATCTATCCTCTTTTTTTTTTTTTTTTTTTTTNCATGCTTGTTTTGATTGGCATCATTGAGCTTGGCGCATGGAGGGACACTGTCTCACAATGCCCATGAGATTTTACCAAATAGGGGATGGCATTTCCAATGCCTATTGTACGGAAAGGGAATATGGCGAACTTGATATACTACTTTCCTTTGTAGCTGGGATAGGATGAGTCTGCTTGGGGATGTTCAATGTACTTTTCTATTTGTACACAATCTGTTCCTCAATGGATCTCTACTCTGTCAATCGACTCGTTTCTACTAGTCCAGCTAGGTACGGTAATAAGAAAACTTGTACGCGAGGATAAGCACGGAGTAGCAATCTCGTAGATCGACAAACTCCAACAGAAGCAGAGCTGTAAGGGTATCGATGTGGTCCACAGACATAAAACTAAAGTACAAAGAGAATAGAGGTGAAAGGGTGTATTCTGTTTTTCTTTTTTTTCCGATGGTGTTTTCTGCATCCACTCCTCCCTCTGCAAACAAAAAAAAAAGAACACTGTCTGGAGCTCACCGAAGGACTCACTTCGGAGTCCAGATCAACGCTGCAATTCGCGTTCATGCTCTGTGCCTCCGACCAGACTTGAGAACAAAGAACATAAATATTGAGCGCTATCAGAGTCAAAAAGGCAAAAAGAAGATTTGCAAATGGGACGAGATAAAAAAAAGACACAAAAGAATTAGAGTATCAAGGGTGTAAGATCGAGGCAATGTCGACGGCCGGGGGAAAAATATGAGACAAAGAAATTTCAATGTCACCGATCAGGCGTCACCGGATGCAACAGGCTTGTCGCCTGAGGGGGCAGGAGAGTCATTTGGGCCGCTCTTGAAGCCACCCCGACCTCCGCCACGACCACCACGGCCTCGCTCGCCACTGCCACGGCCTCCGCGACCACGGCCACCGAATCCACCACGGCGACTACCATCGCTGTCACTGGCGCTCTGGTACCCACGCTGAGCGGTTGTGATGCCACCCCGGGTGCTGGACTGCCAAGTTCCAGCATTGCCCACAGCAGCGCGAGTGCTGCGGTCCTCGAAGAACTTGAAGTTGGGCTTACGTTGCTGGCCATGGGGAGTAGGACCAGGCTTCTTCAACTCAATAGGGAGGTGGTCCAAAGCCGCCTTAGCCTCTTCGGCGCCCGAGAATGTCACAACGTGGTTGTACTTGCCGAGCTTTTCGATCTTGGTAATCTTTGATCGGTCCTCCTCGGAGATGAGGTCACGGACAGCCTGTTCGCTTTCAGCACTTGTTACAAAAAGAGCATTTGCGGGCTTCTTTTCGCCACGAGGTGCAGGTGATTCACTTGGCTTTTCATGCGGCGCGGTACCGTTAGTGTCGGCAGCCGCAGTCTTCTCTTCCCCGACGGGCTGAGCAGAGGCGGCAGCAGGTGGCTGCGGGCTAATGGACTTGGGAATCACGGGAACAGGGGAAGCTCTCGGTCCCTTCTGGGCCTGAGGAATGGGTGCACGCGCGGGAGGGGCTTGGCCGAACTGGGGAGCCACGACAGGGGTCCGGGCAGCGCCGGTCGGGGCGGGTGAGGCAGTGGTCGCTGGGAGACCGCTGGATACAGGTTGAGGGGCACCACCTGGCTGGGGTTTTCCAGTGCGGTGGGCGAAGTTGAATCCCTGAGCCCGCATCTCTGTCGCGATGCGTCCACCTTCAACCTCTAGTACGAGATATCCGAACGCGGCATCCGCCAAGTTGAAGTTCCACATATTCTTGAATGCACTCTCGTCAACCTGTCCAGCAGCATTACCAGCGGCAACGGGGCCTCCGAATGGATTACCGCCATTGGCAATGGACGGCATCTTGTGAACAACATCCAGGGCATTCTCTAGGAGAGTCTTCTGTCCATCATTAGAGGAGATGGCTGCCTCAACCTCGATTTTGACCGTCTCCCAGACATCGTTGAATGATGCCTTGGAGGCAGCAAGCTTGCCGCGGTAGTGGTCCAAAGACGGGTTCACGGAGAACTCATTGTACGAGGAACCGTAGCGGAAATGAAGACCGGCCGAAATGGAAAAATCGGCCTTGAGCGTAACAGAAAGCTGGTTCAGCATGCCCTCGCGGGCAGGGGAAGCGTGGGTGACGAAGACACGAGTCTCGGAGGGGTCGTAGACACGATTGGCGGTGTCGATGAGTTCGCCCATCTGCAAAAGTGTTGTCCACATGGTACCTTGGCCGCCGGCAATAGTCGTCTTTCCTTCGCCATTGTCGAAAAGCTTATGCATCACGACGGCACCTCCCAGACCCAGTAGACGGAGCTTCACGCCACCGATATCAAGAAGGCGCGAGTTGGCCTCGTCGATAATGTGAAGTTTATCTACCTTGTACTCACCCGAGCGGAACTTCTCCAACACGCGCACATCTTCACAGGCACCCCAAACTGTATAAACCGGGACATCAAGGGTGATGCGTTTGTCCAGAAGCATGGAGAGCTCGGAGAGGGGCAGTTGCTCGGGCGGGAAGCGCTGCTTAATTGACTGCTGGGGAGATACCTGTGCGATGGACCGTTTCACGTTCTCAGGAAGGAGGGGGGAATATTGTGCCACATGCTTCAATGTTCTGTTCGTAGATCTGGTATTAGCTGACGGTGTCCAGTATATTTCGGTGCCCGGTGAGGCGAATGTGTTGGGCAGCAAACACGCGCCGAGAAGCTTGGGAAGAATACTGACTTGTCTGCAATCCGCTCGAGGGAAGTGTCATCGTAGAAGCCAAAGTCACCGGTGTGAATGATATGGTCGGCGCGGGCCTGCTTCGCAAGCTCGTTAAGAGACTTCAAGTTGCCTGTTTTATAAGTCCAATTAGTACTGTGTCACTTTGCCAGGAGAAACATTGCCAGAGTGTAGTTACCTCGCACGTCCGCAATACACAAGATTCGTGTCGGGCCGCTCTGAATCACACGGCCATTGTTGGGGAGAAGCGGCGTGGCACCGGGGACAGGACCCGCAGCCGCACCATTCGAAATAGGGTAGCCTTGAGCACCGAAGTTGGGGCGGGGCTATAAATGAGAAGAAAGCAATGATATTAGCCAAGCTATCCAAGATCTCAAGATATGGCATTCATCTCGCGCTATTAGAAGCTGGGGTCCGCAAATGCGAGGGGAGGTTAGGTTAGGGAGCCACCTACAGAAGCCATGAGGTTTTTGAATTGAATCGATTTAGATGAGAGGGTATGGAGTGTATGTTGAAGATGAAGGAGAGGAGAAAGAAGGGAAAGGAAGGAAGGGAAAGGATGAAGGTGGTGTCGAGGGGAAAAAGATGTCGAAGATTCACTTTCTCATCGATGAAGCAGCAGGCGTGACATGAAGATTAGGTAAGCCGCCCCTGGCACCTGGGCACCTCAGGTGGGTACCCGGTCTGGCTGGTACAAACAACACTCTTTATATTCATGTATGGGGGCCTTTGCACTGGCTAAATTGATTAAACTTACTGATTTGACGGATTTTACTACGTTGTCTTACTCTCAGTTGTTGCTAGGATAAGGTATTTCCCCCCCCACCTTGCACTGAGATACGTATGATATGTATAGAGTACAATCTTGCTGAGCTCGTTATGGTCTAACAATGGGAGTGAGACGGATTTTCCTTGCCTTACTATGTGGGGAAAAGATATTTTTGTATGATCGGTAAACAACAGATTGATGGAGCTTAGGTCCCATCTCAAGGTACCTGAACTATCAGGTATGCAGCTATCCTACTCTATAGCCCAGGTCTGACCAGTGACACCATGTATCAAAGTTCTTCGATATAACTCCCAGACAGATACTGACTCCTATCCAACATCTGTTTGACGGGCTCTGACACTGGTCCACGCCGACATGATAAAGATTGAATGGATCGAGGACCCTTCAGCGCCAACAACGCAAAATGTCCACCAACAGTCGGACGGGCCCGGCACAAGATAGGAACTCCTGGTTCATTTCCGTGCGCAGAAGTTGCAACATACCGATCAGAGAAAGGCCAGTTGTGTTTTCCGTTGGTCATGAATGACCACAAGTCATCGACGAACTCGTCCCTGGTGCTCGTCTCAAAGGTGCCAGCCAGCCACATATTCCAATCTGATTTGGCCCAGTCCTGACGATTATCGAGAGGGACACCATATTCACCGCGAACAGTTGTGAAAAATCTACCTCCCATTTGATAGGCAGCGTCGGAGAATGTCTCCAGACCCAGCAATACATCAGGGAAGAGATTGTATGGGGTCTTCCAAGTATTTGGCCAGTCAGGATATTCCAGAACAAAATGTGTCTGATCTTTGTCTGTTCCCAGACCTTTCTGAAATAAGATATTTGCATGTTCCTCGCCGACGCGGGAGTAAAACCCATATCCACTCATCTCCCCAAACGCCTTGAGTCCAACTGCGGCCTTGATGGCCAGATTTGTCTCGTTTGCGAGAGGTCCAGCTGCATCATTCGACGATAGCTGATCAGCAATATTGATACTATTGTCCACCAAGTAATCTGCATACTTTTGGAAGACCTCCATGTACTGCAAAGTCCAGTCCAAATCGCCGGTGGCTCGAACATATGCAGCAGCTAAGATAAGCAGGTTTCCGCACTCCTCGATGGGCATTGGCTCTGCTTCCTGGTCATCGTGACCAATAGCATGAGGATACTGAGCGCCAAGGTCATGGATTGTGTATGGCAAATGCCAGCGGCCAGCAGCGAGGTACTTCATCACGGGCTCCAGCAACAGTCGGATGTAATCCGGATCCATGACGTAGTAAATTGGAAAGGCGGGCGTGATAACATCGATGGTGTTGATATTTCCATCACTAGAAAGTTCCTTGATAAAAGCCAAAACCTCACCGGTGTCAAGAGAGTCATTAGGAATAACCAAGTCGATGCCTCCGTATGCTTGTCGGGTCGAAAGAGCTAGGATATCCGCGTACTTGGGACCCCCTGCGGCGGTAGATAAGGCGGACAGCTCCCGATCTAGCTCCAAGGACTCTAGCAATGCGCTGCTGTAGTCATCCAAGAAGAACGAGAGGGCACTCGGTGTGGTCGGGTACTCTGTGCGATAGAAACCTGTGTACTCTTCTCCCAGATAGTTGATGGCGGCTTCTCTCTCGTACCCGACCACGAAGTTCACAGAAAGTCCACCAGTCACTTTACCAAGATTGTGAGCCAGTGCGACAACACTTCCCTCGCCCCAGGCATCATCCTCGCCAGATAGCTCGCCGTCCTTGGCGAATAGGCCTCGTACGTCATTGGGACTTCCTGAGAGGGAGGACAGTTGAGCAAAGCTAGAAGGTCGAGAGGCGAAGATTGCTGAACCCCAAAGAGCCATGTCGTCTGCCTCAGCATACAACGGTGCGTCTTTGACCGTGAGCGAGTAAATGATCAGGCCGTCTTGTTCTTCAAAGTCGCGCTGTGAGCGGCTTTCTCGGCCAGTCCACCTGGCATCAATATCCGAATACACCTGGATACTCTGACCGCGCGCTCCACATACATGTACAGTCAAATAACCTGTTTATTGTCAGTCAATTCGTCAAGTGCACAATCTACTATATTCCACATAACCCACTAAAAGGAAGCGACTGCCGAGCATAGTTCGACGGCGACACCGGTGAGAAAAAGTCCAGCGTAACTGCTACGGTACCAGCCGTGAGATCAAAGATTGAATGCGTAGCAGTAAACTCAGCACGATGCACTGTCGCAGGGCGGATATCGCTTTCCTCCGGGTCTGGCACACCCATCAGACTATATGCCTGACCATTTACACGGACAATCACGGACCAGCCGAGCTCCTGGCCAGCCCAGAATTGGGGTTCGGCAGAGGGTAGCTGCTGTACTCGGTCGCTGGGCATCCATGCCGATAGATACGGGTTGCGCACTGCTAGCGGGTAAGATGGCGGGAGGGCAGGTTCATGTGTTACAGAACTCGACTCCTGACCCAAGTAAAAAGAGAGCACTGATGTGTAGAGGGAGCCTAGTCCCAGTGAGTTTAAATTAAATCGCATGTTGAGATTGTGAGGCCATCCGTGCATGTGTCAAGAGGTTGAAAGTATATGACCAAACGCGCCGGGCGCGTATATTATAGATAGATATATAAACAGCTTAGTAGATGTAAGTATCATATTCAACATTCAAGGGAAGTACATTGTTAAAGTCAGAAGTTGAACATGTACATCACAAACTCCTTGCCGATCTTCCTGCGTCATATTGGGGGGGAAACCCACAGTACTGTATCAACTATGGAGTATGAATAAATTAGCCATACATCATAGCTCTGATCTTAGGCCCATTAGACCCATTTATTTTTGCGTAAGCCTGTGGCTGAATGGCGTCAACAATTAAACTAAGGCTGGGTACCTAACTATGGAATTTTATAAAATTAATCCATCTTCATTTCTGTACATATCTACAACTGAGCCTTTTCAATTCGGCGCCCAATTTCATCGAAATGAATCTGCTTCCCAGACACCAATGCCTCCTGAAGGTACGAACCAATCTCAACGGCCTTGACAGCATTGCTCAACTTCATAGGAAGCGGGGTATTGTCTAAGCAGGCCGCGGTGAAGTCATTAGCCTCCTGGACAAAGGCAGGGCTGAACCGACCCATGAAGTTGTGAGGAATTTCGCGAGTAATACCACCGTTGTGGTATAAGTTGACAAAGTTTCGCTGGGGGTTGCCATTCACTGTCAACTTGCCCTCGGTGCCAATAATCTCAGTGGTGTCCTCCTGACCTGCGGCCATCATGCGCGAGCAGTAATAGTAGGCAATCTTGCCATTCCAGAACTCCACAATTCCCACAGCGTTATCATAGTCGTTGTACTTCTTCAGCTCCGGTTGAACTGCGGTGATACCATGGGCTGAGATGCTCTTGGGAAGGACTTCGTCTCCAAAGAACCACAGACTGAGATCAATGTCGTGCACAGACATGTCGACAAACACGCCGCCGGACCAGGCTGCATATTCGACGTAGAAGCCCGAGGGATCAAACTTGTCACAGGTCTGGCTGCGGATAATGGCAGGCCGTCCGATGAGACCTTGCTCCATCTTGGCGTGGGCATCACGGTATGAATCGTCAAAGCGTCTGGAGAAGCCACACATCACCTTCAGATGGGGCTTCTTCTTAGCAGCCTGGACCACTGCTCTGCACTTTAAACGGATATTCATCAGCAACCATCGTAGTTCCAAGCAGGGAGAAACTCATACCACTTCGACATCGGTAGACAAGGGCTTCTCACAGAGAACGTGCAAGTCTTGCTCAATAGCCTTGATTGTCTCTTCCGCATGCACGGAGGTGGCTGTACCAATAGCAACAGCCTGTAGACCGGGATGCTTGAGCATCTCATCGTAGTTGGTGTACAGAGTCACACCGTGGGGCTCCAAGTTCACTCTCCCCCATGTAATCTCGGCAGGGTCTGGAGTGAATGCCGCAACAAGCTGTGCACGGGGTGTCTTCTGGAGAAAGTTCATAGCATGGAGCTTGCCGACTCGACCAAGGCCAGCCATGCCGACTTGTAGTTTCTGAACTGTCATGGTTTTGGAGGGATTGAACAGGAGAGTTGGGGGTAATTGATATCTTTTTGAACCCTCGGTTTCTTGGGTCTTCGAGGGGGTTTAAATAGTTTAGAAAGAAGCTGTTCAATATGCATCTTGATCAGTATATTGCTGTTGGTCTTAAATCAAGGTAAAAGCCCCCGTTGTTAGGTGTACGGTGAACGGAAAGAATTGCTGGATGCAATGAAAGGGGAAGGTTGCTTAGGCGCTTCCCCGCATTGGTCCCCCGGTTAGACGATTTATGCACCTATACGATGATTTCTGGGGTATTTCGGCTGACTACATAATGCCAAGAGATTCTTTTGTCAGATATTTCACCAATATGATGTGTGGGTCTTGCATACAGCCCTGTGGGGGGATGGAAAGAATTTCCTCCTTACAAATCTCCATCTTAGAAAGCTGCATGTCTCCAAGAAGAAATCGCCTAGTGGCTGGCTGGTGGGTAAGCCAGCATTTAACGTAGATATATGAATATCTCTGCTAATTGATTTGCGCAGCCAACGATGCCGTGGTAAGTCACCGTGGGGTACGGTCCGACGTACAGGGCAAGCTGCTGAAACACAGGCAATTGTACAGTTCGACACCTAAAATGTAAGTATTGCCGGCTAAGAAAGAATGGGTTAGACTGACAAGCATCTTAGGCGACATCAATGGCTTGGGCTGTGAGCACTGTCAACAAGCTGGTGTAGATTGTGACAGATCCAATGTCCGGTTTCGCAATGGTCTCTCATTACCCAAAGAGGCCGAGCTTGCTTTTTCAGAGAGCTACTGGCCCCAGCTACGTGGCAAAGGTAGGCAAGCTAATGATTTTCTATCATACAAATTTAACCATGCGTTCCAGTGCGCTTCCATGACGAAACACCCGAGATCGCTAGCTTGTACTCAACTATACAGGATGGCCAGTCGGCTTTTACCAACGATCGTAGTTGCAGTTTACAAGTCGGGCTGAGAGAGGAGCTTGATACTCCAAGTGGTCTATTGGCACAGCAGCCATATGCAGCTAATGGGGTCGATGAAGCCAATGCCTTGGCCCAATTCCCAGCTTATATTACAGAAAATGCGTCACCATCTTTGTCTTCTCCAAGATCAATACAGTCAATAAAATACCCAAGGCCTTCGCAGCCGCTAAGCGAAAGGGAAGCTATATTGTTGAGGAATTTCGTCGAGAATATGGCGCTCTGGGTGCGTTATTCCCGACAGCCTACCCATCTACAGCCACTAATGAGAACAGGCTGATATCACGGACCCTCAACGTCATTTTGAAACAGAGGTGTCGGCTCGGGCATTGAAGGAACCTGTCTTACGCTATGCAATTTTTGCATTTTCCTCGCGCCATCTTGACCGACAGGACAACACCGATGTAACAGAGGCACTGCAGTATCACAATCGGTGTGTCCAACTACTTATTCCAGCGCTTTCTGGGCCTCGCGAGCACATCACCGAGGATATACTAGCTGCAGTCGCTATACTCCGTCAGCATGAAGAAATGGATGGTCAGTCATCAATAGGGACAAGTAGCATGCGTCAAATAAATGCTCACACATTCCAGGGGAGGACAATCAATTTCACCTCACTGGCACAACTCATATCCTGAATACAGTGTCGACCTTTGGCTCTTCGGGTGGCCTAGGTGAAGCTGCTGCTTGGCTTTGTTTGCGGCAGGATATCTATATCTCGCTCACCAGCCAACGGCCTTTGCGAACCAACCTACAAAGCTTCTACCAGTCAGATGTATTCCAAAGAAATGACGATTTTGCATGGTCAAGCAGAATGGTCTTCCTACTTGCTAATATTCTCCAGGGCGCTTTCACGGACTCCACTATAACACATAGCACAGATCAGATCGAGGAGTGGTATTCCACCAAACCGCATACTTTCGACCCGGTCAGATCAATCCCAAAAGGCCCCGAGCCAGATCAACGACTCCCTGTCATGTGGATGCTGCTACCCGTGCATGGTGAGTATTCCCCATAACATGTGCGCATAGCAGAGTCGAGACTGACATTTGCTCAAATGCTTGACAGTGATTGGAATTCAATACTATCATATTGCCAAGATTGTTTTGGCACTTTCCGAATCTTCGCAGGCATCTTCCACCTATGAGAGTTTGCGGCATTCTCGAACAGTGGAGGTCCGTTCAAATACCAACATCTTTCGGTCGGCGCTCACAAAGGATTTAGAAGAATGTACGCCACCATCTGCTCACGGTCCTCGGATTGGCACATTCCAACGCGAAGGCCGAGAACACGTTATTTACTGCACGTCACAGTTTAGTCGCCTGTGAGTCGCAAGTGTTTGTTTTTTTTTGGTATTGAACTGACTTGACAGGGGGTTGCGTTCTTCGGCATCCCCTGGACCAAAGGGCTGCGGAATCGCTATTGCAATCCATGAATGCAAGGACCGGTTGGAATATGAACTCGCTCATTCTGACATTGCGCGCACAATGGCAAGAGATTGATGAGGATATGAATCAGTAAAGAAAATACGGAAAATAAAGAAGACAAAAGGGTATATCAGAATTCAGCCGATGAAGACCCACAACTAGGGAATTTATTCAGGTCAAAATACCCGACGAAGATGACTTTTCCATGGGAAATATCCTCCAAGAGTCCAGGACTGGTTGTATACCAAAGGGGTGTGTCAAGGGGAAGATCTCAATCTCAGGGGGACTATCGTAGTACGTAGTCGCACCCCACCCCTTTCTCCAGTGAAGTCATTTAAAAGTCACCGTTGTACCTCGTTTTCTTCAGTTATTGCTACATAAACCATTCTCATATTATTCACTGCAAAGTACAGAACAAGAAGTACTCCATATCCTCCGAAACACACCAGCTTCGTTGTGTCTCACCCCCGCAAATTCAACCTCGCGCTAGTGAAAGCGGATCCGCCTTGCATCGGACGTATGCGATAAAGTCGACGCGCGTGATAGGCATCTTGATTTTGTCTTGAATCTTCCTCTTCTCCAACATGAACGCAATCCTCGGGCTACTCCTCGGGCTGGTCCCAGGAAGTCTACTGAAATCCATTTTCTCAAACTCCGACGGATCGAGACACTACTATATACCCATCATGCAAAGCTCATTTTTCCCCATGAGCGCAACCAAAGAGCACAAAAGTACACAGTTTCCACTTTCAATCGAATCCCCGCCTTCTTACAATGATGTGAGCGGCGCCGTTATCATAAATCAAGAGGGCAAACCTCAATTCCTATCACCAGAGGAAGAGGTAGAACGACACCATCGACTACAGCAAGCAGTGCGCGAGAAGATGTTAGGGTTACCACGAACGACAAAGTTCGAATGGCACTGGGGGACATCAGGGATGTCAGAATATACAGCAACTATGAGCGAGGACCCACCACTACCGCTGTATACACCCTGAGAAGATGAGATGAAATGATGTCATTTCAAGTGCAGCTTGAATATGCAGTATTGATGGAGCTTTGGATTCCCTCCTGGTTGCCTGAGCTGAGCCTGTACAAGTGAGCAGGGGACAAACCGCAGTATACCCTATAAAGACTGCAGGAAGAGGGGGAGTTTTGTTTTTGTATGATCATGCACCGATGGTTCGCCTTTTAATTTTATGGTCGTATCCACTATTTGTACAAGATTGCGCGTAAATATATGCAAGTCTAGTTCCGGAACAGTCTCAGGCCACCTTCCTCCCGATCAACATCATCCTCTTCATCGCTGGCACCCTCATCGCCTTCACCGAGCAAACCACTGGCCGTTTTGCCGAGCAGAGAAGCAAAGAACTCATCCCGTGCGCGCGTAGACCAGGAACCACGGTCATCAGGAGCCATGAAGTTCTGAAGCTTTTCATGCACATTGTACTTCATCTTTCGGCCCTTGGAAGCACGGGTATCAATGTCTCGCTTCACCTTATCGTTGCGCATACCGGTGATGGGGTGAATCGGCAAACGAGAGGGCAGCTGGTGCAGGTTGTCAAAGCCACTGGTCATGGAATCGGTTGAGGACATGCGCTGCTCAACAAGATCACGCAAAAGGGACTGGTAGAACGCCCCATCATCGTAGAGAGGTTCTTGTTGATCAGATGTGCGCGAACGCTTGGAGGGTCGTTCTCCAATTTCTGTGGCGACTTGGGCATCGAGGACGGCTGTGATGGTCTGTTGGCGACCGGAGGTAGAACCAAGTAATTTGCCTCTAGCGTTGGGGAGAGATGCAGAAGTGCCGCGAACTTTCGAGGACCACTTGTCGAGAACGGAACGACGGTGCGAAATGGACTCGGACTCCAATTCAGCCATGCGTTCCCATAGCGAGGCAGAGCTGGTAGTAGGCGAGGCGGGGGAGGGTCGCTTGCGTTTTTTGCTGCCTTCTTTGGCGGTAGCATCGGCTAGGGCAGTACGTAACCCTTCGAGAGTCGACCACAACGCCAGCGCAGCTGACTCCGCCGACTTGATTGCTTCCTCGTCAACAACTTCCTCGTCGTCGTTCATCGGGTCCTCTCCATCTGCTTCGTTCTTGGAGCCCAAGACAGCAGCAATACCGTTGATAGAGGTCAATCCGCTCTGAAGCTTCATCCGCGCGTTAAGGAGCGCATCAAAAGTGGTACGTTGTTGCTTGACAGCCTTTCCCTTCGTAGCATCAGCCTTGGCTGCCGAGGAGATTGTCGCAGCAATAGTTTTCTGATCCGTCGCCATTAGTTTCCGGATCTCGTCGCGGTCACCAGACGGTCCGGTTGTGTCGCCATGTCGGGCATCTTGGCGGGTCTTCTTGGAGTGCTTGTGCACTACCTCATCGGCATCCTCACTTTCATCCTCGTCATCCTCTTCGCTCTCTTCTTCGTCGTCATCCTCGCCTCCCTCCGTGTCCTCATCAGAACTCTCCTGGGCAAGGGCATCGTCGCCGCTGGCAAATTCTTCGGAGCCGGACGAGATGTCTGAGTCCTCGTCATCTTCGTCTTCATCACTTTCAGCGCCTAGCGCTGCCCGGCTGACCCGGGCACCATCATATTGTTTCCCCAGGGGGAGGGGGTCATCTTTGCGGAGCTTTGCTTTCCTGTTCAATTTTTAGCGAGTTGTTGATACCAAATACACCTATTTGTACATACCCAACAGTCTGGTAGTGCTCTCTGCCTGTGTTCACTTCTTCTTGATCTTCACCTTCATCATCGCTTGATTGTTGGCCATTATCGATATCCTCGGGATCGAAATCTAAGCGCGAAGTAAGCATTGAATGTCTGGTATCTAATAGAATCTGTTGACAGATTATTCAGGCATACCTTTAGGAGTTGGATCTTCAAAATCAGCAAGCTGATCAGCTAGGGAACGAGCTGCGCGTGGTTTGCCCATGGTGTTTGGTATGGGGAGAGAGGAGAGGCTGGCGAGCAACTTTTTTTTTGTGTTTTTCCGGATAACGGATTATTGCTCCTATCTAGGTTTAGCGCCCGTGGGCGGTATAGGCTCACACGGGCGGTGTACAGCGTGGGAGCTTCAACTACGAAAGGCGGTCTGCCCTTTCATTGGCAGTATCGCAGTGGATATCTTGCACTGCATCTTCTGGAAACTACTTCTGTTGCTCACAGATTATTTGGTCTTGCATTTTTCCTTCTCATCTTCCTTGTTTGGCCTGCCAGTATGTTGGTTTTTCCATCTGCTGCTAATTCCAGGGGCACGAGGTTGTTTTCCACCTGTCGAGCGCTTCGGCATGACAACCCTTTGGTTAGTGGTTATTCTACAGTTTGAAGCTCCGGTGATGGCCTCTTGGCTCACTGATTGATTTCAATAAACATTTTTATTGCTAGCATGGCTATTTTGACTTGTATTGACTAACTCTGAACAGGGACTTCCACGCTCTGGTACCCCGCCAACTTTCCGTTCGCGCCGAGGGTTGCCCGAAAAGCGCAAGATTCGCGATGTCAAGAAAGTTGTTGCGGTATCCTCAGCAAAGGGAGGTGTTGGAAAGTCAACACTAGCAGGTATGTTGGTATTATTTGTTCCTATTCATGTCTCAAACTGGGTGGCCACTGTGCAAGACTTGTGAACCGAAGTGGAACGAACAATCGCTAAAGAGATCTTACCAGTAAATCTCGCACTATCATTTGCACGCCGTGGTATCAAGACTGGAATTCTTGACACTGATATCTTCGGTCCTTCAATCCCTACACTCCTAAATCTCTCCGGCGAACCTCGCCTCGACGAAAGTGAGTCTCGTTTTCTAAGCTCAGGGCCATCGCAGGCATCATCAATATACTTATGAACCTTGCCAGACAACTGCCTCGTCCCTTTAACAAACTATGGCCTCAAATCGATGTCAATGGGTTATCTCCTTCCCCAAACACAAGCCGACAGCACAACAGGCGAACTACCCATGGACACCACACCAATCTCATGGCGCGGATTAATGGTAACCAAAGCCATGCACCAACTCCTCCACTCAGTATCCTGGGGCCCACTAGACGTTCTAATCCTCGATCTACCCCCCGGAACCGGCGACGTGCAACTCACAATCAACCAAGAAGTCATCATCGACGGGGCAGTGATCGTATCGACGCCCCAAGACATCGCACTCCGCGACGCTGTACGCGGAATTGGGATGTTCCAGCGAATGGAAGTTCCCGTGCTCGGAATGGTGCGTAATATGGCCTATTTCGCGTGTCCACAATGCGGGACTCAGACTCGCATATTCTCGCACGGTGATAGCCACCACCACGCACACGGTGAGAACCACGGTGTTGTTGCTGAGTGCAAGCGGCTCGGAGTGGATTTCCTTGGTGACATCCCTCTTGATGCTCGGGTGTGCGAGGATGCTGATCGTGGGATGCCGACTGTTGTTGCGGAGGAGAGTGCTGAGCGCAGTGCGAGACGGGATGCTTTCCTTAGTGTTGCTGAGCAGGTGGCTCGGAAGATTGGTCTTAATTGGCACTGAAGGGTCACTTCATCTTACCTAGACGTATTTATAAACATTGTGTATTATTATATTAGACTTGCATCATCCGGTGGCTGGCTACTGGCTATTTATGTTCTCCAGCATTTGGGTTTCTTCTCGTTTGGGGGTATAGACCGTATTCATTCTCAGAACTACTTCCATCTACAAATGATGTTCGACTGACAGAGGCCTCACAGTTGACTGCCAAAATTGGGTATATCCAACACAAAACACAAACAAAACACAAACAAACGGGCAGTCGCTGCATGGAGCTTCAACAAAAGAGCCAAAAATCGAAGAAAGATTTTGGAAAGATTTGGAATGATAGTCCAAAAAGACACAGATAGTGAGATATGTTCATAAATAGCAATTCTATAAGGCTTACTCGGCGCTTTTGAACCCCTCTCTTTCTGGGATTTCGGGACGGTGTGATAGGGAGTCCCGACCAGCCGCAGAGAACACCGATAGAGTATCTGTAGAGCGACGGCCATTCTCGCCAGCCATAATCGGGGCAATGATACCCCGCGCGCCAATCACAGCTCGGGTGCTAGCGGTATCGGATGCCATGTTCATATAGGCGACGGAATCCTTGTCGCCGCCAACGGTACTGGCAGTGTCTGACAGCATCTCGCTTCGACCGGTGGCTGATCCTGCAGCAGATGATGGCCGGTACCTGCTGTGAGCTAAGGAGAGATCGGATTTCATTGGTAAAGAGCCTGCTGCATGAAAGAGGGCCCTCGTGCTGGCGTTCTCATCTGTGAATTTGTTGTTGTTCACCTCGGGCAATATGAGGATTGGGCCAGTGCTTATCTGCGAGGGAGGTCGAGAGACGGTCTCTGGATCTGTGGACGTGCGTCCAGTAGAAGAATTACAGTTACTGGGCTGTTCCTTTTTATCCGAGCTGACTGCCGTGTAGCCGTTAGACTGCGATTTGTTGTTGGTAAGGTCTTTGTCTGGGACTTTTTCGGTTTTAGGATTCGTTGCCGGTGTGCTGGACCATGCTCCAGCCTGCCCAGCATCAGTGCTGACACGGGTGGAACGTCTGCCCGATTCCTCGGCCCGCTTCTCCATTTCCATTCTGCGCTCGTCATGCCTACTTCCCCAGCCGCTCCACATCATCATGCCGTAGTTCTTCTTGGCATGTCGTTTTGGTAATACGCCAGGAGCAGCTCGCCGGGCGGCCAAGGAGCTCGGGGGAGGACATTCACCATCAAAGTCTTGGAAGCCATGCGCCAGCTCTTTCAGGCGTCGGCTCTGAACCCGAAGTTTCTCCTTTGCGAATCTGATATCCCATTCCTTCTTTGCGTCCAACCACATTCGGATGAGTAATGGATTGATTGCCCCAATTCGGGCAGGGGGAATCTTCAGCACTAGGTAGGAAGAGGGAGGATCTAGCGGGAAGACATGCCCTCGTTTATCGATTCGTTGACGTATCATGTATTGATGGAACGCTGGAAGAGGATCCCCGGCCTTGCCTACAGAGGAAGGCCCAGGTGCGTCAGGCGGACTGTTCAATGCGGTTTGAGGCTCCGGGACATCTTCATCTTCCGAGCTATTTGACGAAGCGGCCGAAAGAGCACTATCATCCACGATTTCGACCTCGCCATTCTGTGCACGGGCCAACGCCCAAGAGCCAAACTGGGAAATAGAACGGAACATATACTTGGCTGGTCGTGTAAAGCTCAGAGTGGGAGCGACATGGCATAAGTTGTCCCAGACCTGAAGTTGTACATAAGTTGGTTCGTACTTGTTCAAGGTCTCCCGAGTGGGATCATTCTCATCGAGATACACGTCACTGGGTGGATATGCTGCTGGGTTGGCTGCTTTGTGGGCGATGTAGAATTGCTCATCACGTAGTGTCTCACCACCACCGCTCAATATTTGTAGAGGAGGCAGGCCACCCAGAGAGGGCTGGAGGACTGGCGAAACGAGAGGGTGGGACATAAGTTGGTTCGTCGTGTACAACTGGATTTGGTCCTTCAATTCGACTGTCTTCCCGTCCAAGACAACGTGGATATTATCGGGTTCGGCATGCAAACTAGCAGGGTTCGGGGCTTGCTGATGGCCAGGGTAGACATGTTCAGCTGGGGGTGGGGTGCTCTCATGGACCGTATAACCGCGGATGGCAGTCTCTTCAGCAGTACTGTTTGGTTGTGGAATAGCCTTTTTGACATCCTCGGCAGTCACTATTGGTTGGCGCGATATTTTTTTCATTTCCAGGATATCATCAGCATTGGGAGGAGGCCAAGCGGGCGAGGGCTTATGGCGGAAGCCATAGGCGGGGATATAATCGCCCGTGTTCTCCTCAATAATACTCGGAAAAGAGTGTGTTAAATCCACCCAGGGCGAGATCAAGATGGCGCCTGCGGGTAAGGGAATGCCCTGGTCTCTCATGATGACCAGCATCGATAGAGCCAGGCCTCCGCCCGCAGAGTCACCAGCCAGAATGATTTCTTTTGGTTCGTAGGACTTTAGCAGCCAGAGGTAAGCCGCCATGCAGTCATGAAGGCCACATGGGAAAGGGAATTGCGGCGCCAGTCGATACTCTGGCGCAAATACACGTCCCTTCAGTTTGCGCGCATGACGCTGCATCATGTACCGATGGGTGTCGACACTTCCGAAGAAATAAGCCCCACCATGAACATATAGCATCACACGGTTACAATGCCCACCGGCCCCCTCCGTTTGATTGTAGTGGTTCCGCATCTCAATCCACTCCCCCTTAAGCTCTTCGGACGGCCCGCGCCATTGCCACCATTTCTCTCCTCCTACTCGTGTGACACCCTTGGGGCCCAGCTGCTTTGTGACAGCATCCGCAGCAGAGGAAAGGAACTCGTCGGGGATTGTGATGGTCTCGGTTCTCACCCAATGTGGGCTTGGGGCCCATTGGCGAGTGAACGCCTGGAGGTCTTCGACGGGGTGTTTAGATGCATAAAATAGGAATTGACGGACAATCTGGATACCCTCATCGTAGGTAACATGAACGGTGGGTTTGTTATGTAACGATTTGCGATGTAGGTACTATAGATCATGCGCTATCAGCCAGACAATCCTAACCCTATGAGGGTGATCCATAAGGGCTTACATGACTGATGAGAGTATGAAGGACAGTGGGAGTCAATGCCACACCTAGTGCGACTGTATGTAATGGCATGATGGATCTGTTCAGAGGGAAGATAGTAGCAGTATGCCAGCTGTCGCAAAATCCAAGGAAACCAAAGAAAATCAAAGCCAATAATGAGATTTAAATGAGATTTAAATGAAAGACAAAAGTGAGATTCCGATCGCAAAATTGGCCGACGTCATTTAAGGAGCGAAAAAGGGGATTGGAAGAAGAAGATCCAATGAGTTGACTCGTTAAAAACCACAGAGACCGAAAATGAACAGGGGGGCGATGATGTCATCGGGGAAATCGATCGGCGGT